CGGGGGCACGAAGGACTGGAGCAGGAGAGGCACTCAGTGAATGGCGGGACGCAGCCGTCTGCTCATTTGCATCATAAGCGATTGGCTTTCCCTGCTCGTCCCTCATTAGGACACAATGGACAGTTGTTTGCTGGCGCAGCAGATCATTTACCACGGGAGAGAGGGGACAGGGCGCAAGTGACTGATAGGCTATAGTGTTGGGGGTGCGCGGCAACAGCCCTGCGCTCCACCAGCCACGGGAACTTTTGTTTTCACGCCGAGAGTGGACCTAGGAGCGCCAACCAATCCCCCTCCTTTGGCAGAGGTGCTGAGAGGATGTGGGACTTTAGTCAAACAGCTAGAGCCGTGGCTTCCGGTACCAGGAGTAGACTCAGCATTCATGTTCCAGACCTCAGCGCACTTCAGCCCTGCAATCCGGTCTCCCTTCCTCTTTCTCAACTGGAGTTCTAGATCTCCTTGGGTTTCCACTGTGCGGTCTCTCTTGCCCTGTTCTACCTCTAATTAACTCTTGCAGAACAAGGGTAGATCTGGGAAGAGGTAGTGGTGTGGAAACTGTCTCGTTGTTTTGGGGATAGGTGAGAAGAATACATGCTGTGGGGTCTTTGTTTTTGTTGTTTTCCTTCCTCCAATTTGGGATCCTCTAACTTCTGAGTGCTGGGTACAGGCTTGCACTACCAAGCCTGGCTTGAGGCCTGTAATAAATCAGGCGTGAAGATGACCACGTGACACAGCTTAGTTCTTTCCCTCTTTCAAGGTAGCCTGAAGCTCAGAGAGGTTGAGTGACTAGGAAAGGGATACCCGGCTGGCGAGTGACAGCTGTTTGATTGTACAACTCTCCCAGGTGTGGTGGTGCACACCTTTAATTCCAGCATTTGGGAGGCAGAGGCAACTGACCTGCTGTGAGTTCCAGGACAGCCAGGACTGCATAGAGACTCTTGTCTCAACAAACAAAAAAGCAACAGAAAATCTGTTTTCCCACCAGACATCCCCTCAGTCTGACAATGCTCACCCTCCCAGAAGGCAGCCACGTCTCTGTTCTCCAGGGACGACCCCCTGTAGCAGCTCCTCTGATTCCCACCTTTCTCTGGTCCCCTTTGCATCGGCAGAATAGCACAGATGCAGGGCGTTTACCACCCCCCGGGGGTGAAAGGAGGCGGTGAACCAGACCATGGGGGTCTCCCTCCTGCTGACACCCTTCCTGCTGGCATCTGCCCCCTCCCTTTTGTGGGTCAAGGCTGCCGGCTTCTGAATCTGCTTCATTATGCTCTGGGGGGAAGGGAGAGTCAGGGTGACGGGGTGTCTATGTGCATGAACATAAGGCCTCCGGGTTCATTCTGACACTGAATGAAAAAGTCGCCAATTATTCGTCCAATCTCATTAATATGCAGACAGACATCTGTTATTTAGGAGTCAACAGCAGAGGCATGTTCTTGGGGGGAGGGGCACTTATGTACATCTCTGGCTAATAAGGGATAGCAGCCTGAGTCTCACCCGGTTCCTGGAATCTGGAGCATCACCCCCACACACACACCTCACAGCAGCCTTGAGGAAGGCAAGTAGGTAGGTGGAGATGGAGGGCAACCTAGAACTCGGCTGGAAGGAGGGAAACGGAGAGGAGTCAAAATTGTAGAGGAAACTACTAAAACAAAGAGCTGAGCCTCTTCTCCGGGAGGGAAACAGAGGAGAGTGCATTAGGATGGCCTGCCGGGTCCTGATGTCCACTGGGAAATTAAAGACATGACTCCTTGCCCTCCTCTTCAGGCCACTGGACAAATCCGAGTGGATCTGGGTGGGTTGCTCTAGCAACATGGGGTCCTTAGCAACTCCAGAAAGCTGAGCATGGTGGTATGTGCCTGTACTTCCAGTAACACTGTGGTCGAGGCAGGAGGCTTGCAAGTTGAAGGCCAGTTGGAGTTACATAATGGGACCCTGCCTGAAGAACACAGCTAGGCATTGTGACCCAAGCCTATACCCCTCAAAAGAATCCATTTCTGAGACTTGTATACAGAAAAATTAAAGATTACCTGAGTGGTGGCACATACCTGTAATCTTTGGATTCGGGAGACAGAGGACAAGTATACATAAATGAGTTCCAGGCCAGCCAGGGCTATATAATGAGACCCTGCTTTAAAAAAAAAAATCAAACTGTGTGCAGTGATGGCGGGAATGGTGGGAGCAGATATGGCATTCAGACTTGTGTGTACAGGTGTGTGTGCACTTGAATGTGTGTGTGCACTTGAATGTGTGTGTGCACTTGAATGTGTGTGTGCACTTGAATGTGTGTGTGCACTTGAATGTGTGTGTGCACTTGAATGTGTGTGTGCACTTGAATATGTTGTGTGCACTTGAATGTGTTGTGTGCACTTGAATATGTTGTGTGCACTTGAATGTGTGTGTGCAATCGTGCTCGTGTGGCACACAAGCAGAACCCAGACATTAGTCGTTAGTCTTTACCTCAGGCTCTTTCCGTGGCGGAGCCTTGGGGAGGGCTGGACTCACTGTTGCGGTTGGGAGCCTTCACAGGCTGCAGTGTTTGAGAGTTAACCCAGGAATCTCCTACCCTACCCTGGCTGATTGCTGGGGCTAAAATACACTGACAGCAGCACAGCATGATTGGTTGTTTATTTCATTAAATGATTAACAAAGCTACATTGGTGTCTAATTTGTGGGGAAACAGCCGCAGAGGAGGAAGTTGAATCTAACTCTTGCATGTGGGGTAGGGGGTGACTGTGGGTTCCCTGCAGCCTGCAAGGACCTTTTTGAACCTAGGAACAGCCCCACCGCCTCTTCCCACCCATCCTCTTCCCCAGAAATAGGTTTGGCCACACAGCCCCGCAGAGGCAACTAAATTCCCTTCCCACTGATTTTGGAAATATATTAAACTTTGGGGGTTCCTCCAACTGATTTATCTTCCTAATTATGTTTGCTTTAGGCAGATTGAAATGCATTTGCATTCTCTAAACATAAACGGCGCAGGGGGAAGACGGGGAGTCAGGGGGTGTAAGTATTCTGCACTGTGGTGGCTACAGGCTTGAGCCTGCTTTGTATTAGGCAGGTCAAGAGAAGTGACCTGCCAAAATTTTCAAGTCAATTTTTCTTTTATTTTTCCAAGACAGGATTTCTTTATGTAGTCCTGGCTGTCCTAGAACTCGCTCTGTAGACCAAGATGGCCTATAACTCAGAGATCTGCTTGCCTCTGCCTCCTACGTGCTGGGATTAAAGGTGTGCGCCACCACCGCCCAGCTCAAGTCAGTTTTTTTTTTGAAGGTGAGAAGAATCTCATTCTGTAGCTCACACTGGCCTTGAACTCTCAGCAATCCTCCTGCTTCAACCTCCCTACTGTGATTACAGGCACTAACTGCCATGCCCACTAACGAGTTCGTTTTTATAGCAAGTCCTTACTGGGGAAAAACCAGTCTTCTGGGAGAGACGGAGCCCCAGCACCCCTTGGTTCAGGACTTGGGGCCCTTGAGGGAGGTCTCAGTCAGCCCCTAACCAGCTGAGGGGATGGGATGTCTAGTGCCTAGACTCCCTTAGATTGGCAGAGATGGTTTGGGATAGAGTCCCACAGGAAATGGTGGGAAGGAGGGAGGATGGTTCAGTAAGCCAGAAAATGAGAGTTGGGTCTGGCCAAGGGAAAGGAGGCGCTATTTCCATGCCATATCTCATAAAGTCCAAACCCTTGATCCCCACCACCTCATCCGTCCAAAAAGCCAAATCTAGACATCTCAGCCTGAAGCCCCTGGTGGCTCTCACAGGGAAGTACTGACTCTCTCCTGGGCTCTTGAGTGGCCTTGAAGGACCTGTCCAGCCTCGCTGTCCCTCCCTGCTGTGGGAGCCCTCTCTCCTCCACACTTCATGCACACGCACGCACACACACACACACCCCAACACCCTCAGGACTTAGTGGCTCAGGGAGCCCCACAGCAGCCAGTATGCATGTAGGTTCCCTCAGCCAAGGCACCCTCTCTTCCCTACCAGGCTAGCCTCCAGCAGCTCAGAAACTGTCTTCATCTCTTAATCCAGTGTGTGGCAGGGCTGGCAACAGCGCATGCTTGGTGAATGCAGGGAGGGGTGGAGTGTGCACAGGGTCCCACCAGATGGGAGGGTAAGGCCAGCCTCCGTTCTCTCCCAGCGTGTCTGGGAGAGCTGGATGGGGTGGGGTTGGGGGAAGGGGAGAGCCACGGATGGTTCCTGGGGGAGAATGTCACCAAAAAGAGGCCAGTGGGACCAGAGCCAGGGAAGGAATACAGGACAATCTGAAACCAGACTCCCAAGAAAACAGACCAGCACTGTCCTGGCTGACAAGTACTCCGGCCATCCATCCCCTCCACCAGCTTTCATTCCCGAGGGGCTGGGGTGGGGGTGACTCACAATTACAGATGATGCTCCCTCACCAGTCAGTAAGGAACTCAAGGTATAACTGAGGGGGAGCCCATGTTTGGGTCCTTGAGGAGATAGAGTCCCCTTAGCAAGCTTCACCTCATTCAGGGTTCAGATTCTGCGATAGGGACTCTCTCAATGCCCTTCCTATCTTCATGCTCCCTAGGGCATCAGCAGGCTGCAAGCCTGGAGCAGAGATGGTGAACAAGGGGCTTGTACCACTTCAACAGGCCCTCCCTCTGCTGTGCGCGCAGGACATCCAGCCAGCAAGGCTGAGTAACGCTGAGCAGTGTGCTTCATCAGTCACTCCAAGAAACCCCCTCCTCAGCCAGGCAATGGTGGTGCACGCCTTTAATCCCAGCAGAGGCAGAGACAGGCGGATATCTGTGAGTTCGAAACCAGCCTGGTCTACAGAGCGAGTTCCAGGACAGCCTCCAAAGCCACAGAGAAACCCTGCCGGAATGAAGAGGCCCAAGGCATTTCACTCTCCCACCCCTGGCTTCTAAGTTTCATATTCTTCAGCGCGTGGCTTCTTTCCTGTGTTTGCTCCGTGGGCAAGGATGCTGGTAGACTGGGAATTTATGGGGGAGAAAAGGAACAGAACTAAGGCCATAGCCGTTTTCCATGGTCATGGGCTTTATTTGCGCACTGCTGGGGAAGGGGTTAGCTAGAACCAGTAGCTGGGTTGATGGTAGGAAAGGACTTCTTGCTGTAAAATTTAGTGCATGTTGCCTGGAGGTTAGAGTATGTGAGGACAGTTGGGGAAGTGAGGAGAGGGGAGAAGGTCATCCAGTAGACTCTCCTTAGGGAAGGCAGACAGGGGATGGGAACTAGGGCAAGAAAGGAAGACGCACTTTATATAGAAGACTCATCCAAAGTCATTGCTGGATGCTGGCTTCCTGAACACCCACCTGCCCCATCACGTTCATGCCCCAGATGCCTACCCTGTTCGCTCTCTCAGCTACCAGCAGGAAAGGGGAGGAGGTTATGGGGAATGCCGACGCCCTTCTGTTCTCTAGCCCCTCCAACCAGAATGCTCCTCTGCCTGCCCTGCCCTTCCAGCCAGGGTCAGGAGGCCAAACGGTCCAGGAGCAGGCAGGGGAACAATTTCATCTCCGCAGCCCTCACATAAGGTTGCAGCTCTTGGCTCGATCCTTATGTATCTCGCCCTCATTCCCCCGGTCTGGCCTTCCCGACAGCTGAGTGGATCTCTGTAGTCCCCGGCGAGAGTCAGTACGGCGCAGCTGCCTATGGCCACGGCCAAGAGAAGCCACTGTGGCCACATGGAAGACATCCCTGACACTGCGCTCAGAAGATCGGGAAGAACACTCAACGTAGGACACAGCCCCCACCTGCTTGGCCAGCACAGTGCCCTGGAAAAGAAGGGGATGGGTGGAAATTATAGGGCTTAGCCTATACTTCAGAAAGGAGCATGAAGGCTGTGGGAAGAATCAAGGGTTAGGGTCAGAGGTTAGGGCAAAAGGATGAGCCATGTCGGCTGTCTTTAAATCAGAGGCCCAAGCCAGGCATGGGTGCGAAGTCTTAGGCTGGGATTAAGTTGCAGGCTATGGGTCTCACCTGTTCATGAGTAACAGGGATAAGTCTCTGCTTGGATAGCTCCCTCAGTGTGGCCAGGTCGGTCCTCATGTCCAGTTTACAGCCAACCAGCACCACCTTGGCATTGGGGCAAAACTCCTGAGTCTCTCCTTGCCACTAGTTGGGGGTGGAAAAAAAGAATTATGGAGGGGTGGAGGGAGATACAGGGGAAAGCCTTGCTCCATGCATGCATGCATGCAGAAATCACTCCGACCCTCCTAGGTAAGGCAGTGTGGGAAAGCTCTTCTCGGGTTGAGACCAGGACAGTGGAGATGATGAGGAAACGGTGAAGAGCCTGGAACCTTCCCATTCTCACGCAGCTTTCCCATACTTTGTCCTGAGACCAGACCAATCACACCCTCCCCTGCCTGGGAACTAAGGATGCCCTAACTGACTTATGCTTTCACCACAGGTTTTTCTTATGGAAATAAGGGCCTGAACAGGAGGCCACATGGCTTTCCAAAGCCCCAGGACTGGCATTCCCAACCCTTCCATCCAGGGCTTCCACAGCCAAGGAGATAGGAAAGGCAGATAGGCAGTCCGACTCTCATCTCCCCAGATACCATTTCCAGCTCCAAGGACTGGTTTGCAGGGGGAGGAACAGGGCTGGAGTAGGGGTTGCCAGCTTTATCTACTGCCAGCTGAGGGGACGCCACTGGTCCCTTCTCCTGGTTCATGCCTGCCCAGTCCCCTCAGTAGTTTCCCACCTTCTTAAGGACACTGTCCAGGGTCTCTGGCCGGCTGATGTCAAAGCAGATGAGCACAGCATCAGAGTCAGGGTAGGCCAGAGGCCGGACGTTGTCGTAGTAAGAAGAACCTGAAGGAAGAAAGAGAGAGCACCTGATAAGGTACCTGAGTGGGTGGCAGGCCTGGAAGGGACTGAAGTGACAGTGGACAAGCAGAGAATGGAAGAGAGTGGCCCTTCATACCCATCAGGAAGCCTGTTTCAAGACCAGCAGAGGGGAGCAGAAAGAGTGACATAATAGCTCTCTGCTCCCTTATGGGTTTCTCTAATCTAACAGTAATATATTTATAACCTTTTGGAGTTTGTAAAACCTTTAAGAATCTCAAAAAAAATCTACCAATATTCCAACAAATTTTGTGCGTGCTTTCTGGGCTTTGACGGCACATGCTCTAAAGTCCTAGTAAAAATAAAAAACCTTCCCCATGGGGTTGGAGCAGGGACAGGGAAAGAGTGTTCCTGTCCTCTGGGGACTCTAGAAAAAAAAAGAGAGAGACTACTTTCCAACGACACCCTCCCCCCACCCCGAAATTCTAAATAGCTCTCCTAAACCCGTTCCCATTTCCTAAGAAACATGTTCCAAAATAAGTCATTTCTTCCCTAGTTCCTTGGGTAAGCAGAACCCAGCTGCAAGGCTCAAATAAATATTAGGCTTGCTACTTCAGAACATGGTTTGTTGGGAACAAGAAACAGCCTCAGTTTCCCTGGCTCAAAACAGGAATTGATACTCTAAAATTGGATGGACGTCTGAGCTAACATGGAATCTAAGGGTCTAGCTAAGGGAGGGGCTAGGGTAAGGGACCTTGGCAGTCAGGGTGACCTCGAGGGACTACCTGAAGTATCCCACATGTTGAGCTCAATGCGGCGCTTGTCGATCTCGAAGCTTGCAGTATAATTCTCAAACACGGTGGGGACATAACTCTGCAGAGACAGATGGGTCAAAATGAGAGCTTCTCTCCAGTCCTCACCCTGACAACTGCCCTCCTCCCTCCACACCCGGTCCAGCTCGATCCCTAGACAGAAGTTGGTCTGAGGCTGGGCCAAGGGAAGATCCAGGGCGCTACTGCCTCCACCTCCACGGAATCCTAGGTAGACTCTCTGATTCCCTCGGGGTCTCTTTAGCCCTTAGTCCTTTCCCTCTTGGATGCTCAGGACCTCCGACATTCCCCCAAAGCGCCATCCCGGATCCTCTGATGCTCCCAAGCCCCATCCATTTCACCGCGTTCCTTGATTCCTTCCACTCCAATTCTCTGCAGTCCTTTCAGAGCCCCCGACGCCTCTTTACCCTCCTCGGAGCCTCTTTCTCTCGTCCCTAGTTACCCTGGTACGGGTTTCCAGAGGCCCCCGGAGCCCCTGTCACACAGTCCCCGAAGCCTCGGTGCCCCTCTCTCCAGACGCCAGTTCCTCACCCCGGGGTAGGCGTCCTTGGCGAACACCTGCAGCAGCGCTGTCTTGCCGCACTCCGCGTCCCCGACCACTACGATCTTGCAGCGGCCGCTCTGCCCCTCCATAGTCCCGGCTACGCGCCGGTCCCCGACGCCGCCCCCCTCCCGGGCCCCGCCGCTGCCTCTGCCGCCTCCTCCCCCACCGCTGCAGCTGCAGCCTCTCGGGCCGCCGACACCGGCATCTCGCGGGCCCGCGCCGAGCCCCCGCCCGGGGCTGCGGGGCCCCTCTGCCCCGCCCCTAGCCCGCGGGCCGCGCCCCCGGCCCCGCCTCTCACCCGCACCGCCGAGGGGCGGGGCCCGAGATGGGGCGGAGCCTGGGAGGTGGTGGAGGGGCAGAGTCCGACTCTAGCTAGCAGCTGTGACCCCAGGAGCGCCTGAGGGTGATTACGGCCAGCGAGCCCGCTTATTTGAGTTCCTTGGGAGTGGAGGGAGGAGGAACAGACGAGGGGCGAAGTTCTGAAGGGTCGAGTGCGAAGCTCCACACACAAGCGTGAGGCTTGGGCCTTCTGTGTGCCCACGCGTGCACGCAGGTGTGCTAGTGCGGACACGCGCGGCGGCGGCCATCCACTTGCTTAACACAGGGGGGCGTGAAGTATCAGGAAAGGGAGGGTTTTTTGGTTTTTATCTCCCTCCTCCACTCTCGAGTCCGCCTGGGTTTGAGGGAATGAAGTACCAACCCTAGCACTCCCACCCGACATAAGTGACATCATAGCTTTCCGTCTCCATAGCGACGGGTGTTCCGATCTGGGCCTGCAGCAACTTAACTGTGGGCCTGGACTATCCTGGAAGCGTGGACTGAGTTCCTCTAGCCAAGTACTGAGTGGAAAGTTTTAGGGGAGCGTTTGCGTCCTCTGGTGGACATTTCAGTAGAAAGAGAAAGGGAAGACTAAGGAAGCTAGAACCAGGAGATAGACAGCTCTGCTGGGGCCAGAGCTAAGCCCCAGAAGCCAAGATGGGGCTTAGCCTCATCTCATACTAATAACGATCAAACAAACCGCCATTTGCAAGGCATGTTTTTGCTTTTTGAAAACTCTTCCTTAGCCGGGCGTTGGTGGCGCACGCCTTAATCCCAGCACTCTGGAGGCAGAGGCAGGCGGATCTCTGGGAGTTCGAGACCAGCCTGGTCTACAAGAGCTAGTTCCAGGACAGCCATCAAAGCCACAGAGAAACCCTGTCTCGAAAAACAAAAAACAAGCAACAACAACAAAAACCTCTTCCTTAGTCGGACGTGGTGCTCTACCACTTTGATCCCAGCACTTGGGAGGCAGACAGATCTCTCTGAGTCCCAGGACAGCCTGATCTACATAATGAGCTTCAGCATAACCAGGACTACATAGAGAAACCTTGTCACAAAACAAAGCTGGAAGGAAGGAAGGAAAGAGAAAGAAATAGAGGATAGAGAGGGAGGAAGGAAGAGAGAATAGCTCTTCCTTAAGTCGAGGATGTGCGATTAAATTTTATCTCGTTTTGAATAACCCTGTAAAGATAACTACAGCACACACAGTCATCACTGTTTTACAGAAAGGAAACAGACACACAGTATTGACAACCAAAACTGTTAAGTTTCAGCTAGACATGTAGCTCAGGGGTAGAGCACTTGCCTAGCATTCATGAGGCTCTGGGTTCTATATTCAATACCAACAAAAGGAAGAGAGCGAGAAAGAAAAGGGACAGTGATGGCTGGCATATGCCTTTAACCACAGCACTCAGGAGGCAGAGAGAGGTGGATCTCTGTCAATTCAAGGCCAGCCTTGTCTACACAGCAGGTTCCAGGACAGCCAGGGCTACATAGTGAGATCCTGTCTTGGAGGTTCACTTCACACGCATAATTTGCCACTGCAAGTCCATAGTGAATGAAGTCTGATTACTACTAATGGGTACAGTCAGAACTTGAGGTACAACTTCACCGGGTTCTGATTCAAAGAGTAGCTCCCCAAATCTGATGTAAACTCCGATGTTTGGATTATCCTCAGACTGAGCCATGACAGCTTTTAATTGGTATAAGGCTTATTATGAATAAATCAAGTCTCCATCTCTCTATGCCCCAGAATCTCATGGTTATCAGCCACACACACATACTCCACCACAGCCCTCCACCCCCCTCCACCCGCACTGCTAATCATTTCCCGCTCCCCAAGCTCGGTCCGCAGTGGGCCTAGCCCTTTAAGTCCGCGCATGAAGCTCCACCCCCGAGCAAGGGCCCCGCCCAAAGACCCCGCCCCCCCACTGGTGTCCGCAGTCTGCGCTCTTCCTGACGCGTGTCCCGCCCTCCTAAGCTGGGCACCCTTTCTGTACAGCTGGGAGCGCACGTCGCGAGTCTAGCCATGTCGGCCGAGAGGGAGGCAGCCGAGGCGGCCACTGCGGCGGCGGCGGCCGAGGCCGGGACCGGGGCCGGGACCGGGGCCGGGACCGGGGCCGGGGACGATGCGTCTCCGCAGCCCCCGACAGCCGAGGCGGCGAGCGACCCGCAGCCGCCCCCGGCCCCCGAAGCGTCGGCCTCCGCCTCGGCCCCGCCGCTTCGCTGCTTGGTACTCACCGGTTTCGGTGGCTACGACAAGGTGAAGCTGCAGAGCCGGCCGGCCGCGCCCCCGGCCCCGGGTCCCGGGCAGCTGACGCTGCGCGTGCGAGCCTGTGGGCTCAACTTCGCCGACCTCATGGCCCGCCAGGGGCTGTACGACCGGCTGCCGCCGCTGCCGGTAACCCCCGGCATGGAGGGCGCGGGCGTAGTGGTGGCCGTGGGCGAGGGTGTCGGCGACCGTAAGGTGAGCGGCAGCGAGGCAGGAGTGGGCGCGTGCCGGGGGTGTGGCTGGACGGGGAAGCCAGCTAGGACTCGGATGGACTAACATGGGACGCATGGGAAAGCAATTTAGGTCTTGAGGCTTAGAGGAAAAGGATTTACTGGGCGACCGGCGACAGTGTTATTGCCCCTTCCCCAACCATTTTTTAGTTGTGGCCACCGCCCCAAGCGGAGTTATGGGGGGGGGGGGACAATAAGGCGCCCAGGCGCATGCGCAAGATGACCTGCTCGCCCCCTCCCCTAGTCAAACCACACCTGTGCCCCTTCCCACTAAACACTCCCAGGGCAGTTGTGGTCTGTGAATCCGAGTGATGTTTAGCTCCGGCTTTCCCTCCCGAGGGAGTTTTGAGAAGCTGTGTAGACGGGGTCAGGCGGGGGCGCAGAGGCCGTGCCAGAGCGCCAGTCACATGCAGCCCCGTGGTGTATGGGGGTGTATGGCGGCCCCTCCCGGAGCTGGGCCAGAGGGGACACACCCATCATGGAGCAGGGAGAGCCTCGCTTTCTACCGCCCCCCCCTCCCCACGGGCCTTAGGCTACTAAGGTTTTTGGCGTGGGGGAGGTGGGTTTGGGCTTCCATCTTTGTCTTGGGCTCATTCTCGTGACTGCAACACCATCTCATCTCCAGTGACTCAGCGGGCAGGCCTCGACCCGGGGCTACCCTTGGGAACTTCCGGCCCAAACCATCTCCGCCTCCCTTTTGGAGGACCCCAGCCTCTGAAACCCTGGCGGGTGGAGCCCGTTTGAAATAGGGTGAAGAGGTGTGGCACCTTGAGCAGGTTGGCCCAGCTTTGCCGGTCTGTTTCCCATTTATCATTAATCCCAGTCATAACCTCGGCCACATGAGACTTAACAGATGACCAGCTTTTTGAGAGATCTGGGGTGAGGCCTCTTCATATCATGTGTTTGGGAGTTTCTTTTCAAATCTGGCACCTTCAGGAGAGGCCTCTCCAAAGTGCTCTCCGAACCTTGCCTTTGGTAACCTGCTGGGTTTGCTGGATTTGTTGAACATGCAAACAGCACCTCCTTAAAGTCCTTCTCCATGAATCCAGCTGTGGTCCCACCCTTGCCCTGACTTAGAAATAATCCTACTCTCGGATGATGCTCAAAGGAACTTTTGGGAGGAGGGGTGAAAGGGGAAGTTAATAGTTCGAGTGACTGCTGAAGGCCACCCATCCATCCACTCCTCCCCACACTTTCCGCCTGGTAAATACAGGATATCCTGCCGAGGGCAGGAATCTGCTGCAAGAGCCTGGATTCTGTGGGGAGGGCTTTCCCACCCTCCTGGTGGCTGCGTTGGGAGGGGTCATGGCCCTCAACTGGGAGGGCTAAAGGTTAAGTATGAGCCAGACTAGGTGACAGTTGCTCTGGACTACATCTGGAACTGGCCGTTAGTTAGTCCGTCTGGAAATTGCCCTGTTGCTAGCTTTCTTGGATTGCTACTGTATCTGCTAGACCCTGAGTCTGGGGCTTTCTTCCCCAGACCTCACCCCCAGGCCAGAGTTCACAGAAAAGGTAGCCTTTTCGGTGGGGTGGTGGGGATATGATGTAGGGGGTCTCGCTCTCCTACCCTGTGGATCCTGGATTTCCTGGCAGGAGCTAAGATGGGTCCCAATTGTCTAGGACAGCTCCCACACTTCTCTGCGTGGTCTTCAGAGAGTCAGGCTGACTGTGGCTCCTCCCTTCTCCAGCCCAGTTGCTGGAGGGATTCTCCTGTCTTTGTCCCCTTTCCTCCTGCAGAGAGACCCTCACACAAGTGACTGGGAATGAAAGACAATGCCTTGTCCTTGTGGCTGGAATGGTTTGCCTCTTCTTGAGTATGCCCTTTTATGCCGTGTCTGGGCGTATGTTTTTTTTCTAGGGCTGCCCCTGTTAGCTTAAATACAACTGCCCCTGGGGTGGTCACACCCAACCATGTACTATTTAACAACCCGGGTACATTAACCCTGCATTTTGCCATGGCCCTGCTATGTGCAGCCCTCTTTCTTCAGTTTCTTGACTTCTCCTTCTGGCTGTTACTGCTAGCTAACATCGCTAATATTAACTGTATGATAGACAGTGCACTAAGTGTCACTGAATGTTGGGGTTTTTGTTTGTCTGTTTGTTTAACTCTTACAGTTCCCCTTATGTCGATAAGGAAACTGGCTAAATAATTTTTTTTGCTCCAGACCACATTGTCTTTAAAGTGGTGGGACCCATTTTGGTAATCAAAGCGGTTTGATCTCTTTAACAATGCTTACACTTGCCCTAACTGGAAGTTTCTTGCGTTCAGGGACCTTGCACAATAATGAGGTGTACGATCTGTTACTTGGAGATAAGGATGGTCCAGAGCTGATGTAAGGATTGAGCATTTCCATATGAAGCACTAGATAAACACTTAGTAAATGACTGTTGTCGTTAATGCTGCGACCTCTGCTGCGTCTTCTGCTACTGCTTTATCTCCAATGGTCTGGGAGGTGGCGAAAGCCAGTAAGTCACCTGTGGGCTAATGGATGAGCAATCAAATGACATTCTTCCATTTCTTTAAGGCAGGAGACCGGGTGATGGTGTTGAACCGGTCAGGGATGTGGCAGGAGGAGGTAACTGTGCCTTCAGCCCAGACTTTCCTGATGCCTGAGGCCATGACCTTTGAGGAAGCTGCTGCTTTGCTGGTCAATTATATCACCGCCTACATGGTTCTCTTTGACTTCGGCAACCTAAGGCCTGGCCACAGCGTGTTGGTACACATGGCTGCAGGTGACAGGTCCCTTCCTTTCTTACCCCACCCTGGTTTCCCTTCCCAGCCCCTTTTCTGTAGGCTGTCTGGTGTGTTGTCATGGTAACACCTGGCTGGCTAGCCTGTAGAGCCCAGAGGCCTCTGCAGCATAGTTGCCGTGGTAACACTTAGACACCAGGTCCAGCCTGCTGTCCTTAGCATCATGCCCACACCCCACACCTTCTCCTGTCCAGACTAGTTCTCTCCGGTTCTCAGTTACGGAGTTTGAACGTGGGCCCCCGAAGGAGTGGAGGCACAGGGGCTGACGGCGAGGCCTTTGGGAGGCTGGAGTGGAGAACGGTAGCTAAGTGACTCTGCCTGCTTCCGGCTGCAGGTGGCGTGGGCATGGCAGCCCTGCAGTTGTGCCGCACCGTGGAGAATGTGACAGTGTTTGGGACAGCCTCAGCCAGCAAGCATGAGGTGCTGAAGGAGAATGGGGTCACACATGCCATCGATTACCACACCACTGACTATGTGGATGAGATCAAGAAGATCTCCCCCAAAGGTGGGGCAGGGCCTGGGAGTGGGGAGGCTGGGATGGGACAGGAAGAGGGGGGTCTCCAGATCTGTGGATATTAATACCCCTTACTCTGTGACAGGAGTGGACATCGTCATGGACCCCCTGGGTGGGTCAGACACTGCCAAGGGCTACCACCTCCTTAAACCCATGGGCAAAGTTGTCACTTATGGTGAGTCATCAGTTGTCTCAGATGCAGGAGGGTAGGGCTAATTAATAATTAAATCCCACTAATAGGGTGGGATACAAGGGCCTGAGCTTTTGAGTGAAGAAGGAATGGAGGCTCCGCAGCTCTCCAGTGACTGCCAGGGTTTGGAAGGACCCTGGATATCTGAATGAGATTGCTGTTCCTGGGTGCCGGCCACTCATTCTCTTTCACAACTTGTCCTGTGAGTCATGGTAATTCTGCGTTCCTATTTGGGGATTATTTCTGATGCAAAACCAGCCTTGCATCAGCCTTCTTCCTGAGGCGCCACTTGGGCTTCTTGGGCAAGCTGGGTCTTTATTTTAAAACACAAAAAGCAAATATAAAAATGAGAAGAATTTTGGGAGAGAATGTGTGTGTTCTCTCTCTCTCTCTCTGCCTAGGGCTCCTAATTCTCTGTCATCATGTCCTGAGTGCCGAGTTATGGAATGTGGCACCACACCTGCTGGGAAGCAACGTTCCTATCACATCATCTTTTTTTTTTTTTTTTTTTTTGTCCCCTTTGAGACAGGGTCTCACTAAGTAGCTCTGGCTAGCCTGGAACCCACAGAGACATCTTTCGAGCACTGGAGTTAAAGTCATGTGCCACTGCTACATGTAGCTCTCCAGGGTTTTCCTTTTTGGAGGGCGGGGTTGGGGAAGCTGAGACAGGGTTTCTCTGTGTAACCACTCTCACTGGCTTCAAACTCAGAGTCCTGCCTGCCTCTCTCTCCCAGAGTGCCAAGATTAAAGGCGTGCACATGCCCAGCTCTTTTTTTAATCCCCCCCAAAGTAAAGTTTCAGTATCCCAAGTTGGCTTCAAACCCACTTTCTAGCCAAGGATGAACTTGAACTTGTCGTCTTGCCTCTACTCTTCAAATGCCGAGGTTCATGCTTACACCACATCCTTGACTTATAAAGGGTAGGCCAGGAAAGCACTCCACCAGCTGAACTGCATTCTCAGCCCTTGTATGTGCAAGCTTGTGAAGATATTTATTGTGGGTGGGTGTCATGGCGCACATGTGGGGCCTGGAGGAAGGCTGGCAGGACTCAGTTCTCTCTTCTACCATGTGGGTCCTGAGGATGAAGCTGTAATTGCCAAAGCTGGCCACTAAGTCATAGCAAGGGCTCATTTTTTGTGTGTGTTTGCGCATGAGTGCAAGCACACACGCATGTGCATGGACAAATCTCATGTAGCCAGACTGGCCTCAGACTTGCTATGTAGCTGAGAATGGACTTGAACTCCTGATCCTCCTGCCTCTACCTCCTGAGTAGTGAGAATATAGGCATATGCCATTTTATCTGCCAGAGGGCAAGAGTTAAGTTTGGACCTGGTAACTGGGATTGCTCTGGTGTTGAGTGTCGCAAGGAGATCGAGAAGCTAGACAAGCCTGGCTTCAGACATACAGGGATGTACCTGGCAGCTAGATCATAGGCCATGTCACTCTGTCCCTTAGGAATGGCTAACCTGCTGACGGGCCCCAAGAGGAACCTGATGGCCATGGCCCGCACTTGGTGGAATCAGTTCAGCGTGACAGCTCTGCAGCTGCTGCAGGCCAACAGAGCTGTGTGTGGCTTCCACCTGGGCTACCTGGAAAGTGAGGTGGACCTGGTCGGTCAGGTGGTTTCCCGCCTCCTGGCTCTGTACAACCAGGGCCACATCAAACCTCGGATTGACTCGGTCTGGCCCTTCGAGAAGGTGAGTGTGCCTCTGGGAAGGGCCTGGGTAGAACTCAGGAGGTGCAGGGGGCTCAGGAGAGGATCCTGGGGGGCAGACGGGAACCATCTTATTCGGGCTGGCCCCGTGAGATGGGACAGGTGGCATCCGTGGTGTCTTCTCTTCCGATCCAGGTGGCTGATGCCATGAAGCAGATGCAGGAAAAGAAAAACGTGGGCAAGGTCCTCCTGGTCCCTGGACCCGAGAAGGAGGCCTAGGGCGAAGGGCCCGGGGCCCGAGAGCCGGGAAGGAGAAGATGGGAAGCCCTGTGGTGTTGCCCACCAGCCTCTTACATTTCATCCTCGTCACGACGCTCTGCCCTCCTTCCCTCCCTCCCTCCCTCCCTCCCTCCAAAGGTGTCTGCTGATGACCGAGTCCTTCCTCTGAGCTCGCCCTTTGCTCAGTCCCCCACCCCTTCCTGCCCTCAGAAGAGGTTGGGAAGTGACCACTTGGATGTCTGGGCCCTGCCAAGGGGACAGGGAGGGTCAGCAGAAGGCTGCTTCCGGCCCCCCACCCTCTCTCTCCCTGGGTCTACCATGCTGCTTGTGTGCCAAGGTTAGCCCGTCCCTCTCTGTCCTGTCCACTTCCACCTCTGCCTCCCCTTCCTCCTGCCCCACCACCTCCCCAAAGATTCTAAGTGTCAGCTCAGGATGTGGGGCTAATGTGTGTGAGTCCAGCATGGACCTGCGTCTCGTAGTATCCAGGCAACCCAGGCCAACGCGTGCCCACCCCTGGGCTTGATCAGGGCCCACCTTGTCTCCTAAGCACAATCGGGCTTCTTCCACCTGCCGTTGGCTGCCTTTAGCCAAGGCTCCCTCCTCCAGCAAGGGCAGGAATTAGACCGGCGCCCTAGCTCATGGTTCTGGGACAGGTGCTGGGTGCCCTTCCCCTCCACTGAGGTCTCTGGATTTGTCTCAGTGCCTTAGCATCGGAAAACCTGTGCTTACGGGGGAGGGGGTCCTGTCTCCAGCTCCTTTTCCTCTCTTCTCCCCAGTGCCTTCCCTGTCCTGGTGGAGCTGAGGCCTTTCTCCTCCCCAGTCCTACAACACTGCCAAAAATCTGTGTGACATTCAGGGGCGGGAGGGGCAGCCCCAGCCTCTGGGGACCAGTTGATTTTACTGTGGTCTGTGCCCTGTCCTGTCTCTGTTGGTGGTGAGGAAGGAGGCAGGAAGCTAGACCAGCCAGAGTTCTGGGAGATACTGCTGGGTCTTATTCTAGGACCAAAGTGAGAATCCTGAGCACAGAGCACATTCCCTTTGCTGTCTGTCAAGGGAAGTTGCTGCCTTCCCAGAGCCTAGAGGCTGCCTGGAGGCTCCGCCCCAAACTTTGTTTACACTGGTGGGGGAGGAGAAACTTGGGCAGGGGAGCTAAAGGGGTAGTTACAAGGACCTGGGCTACTGGAGCCAAAGTGGGGACCTTTGAGGCTGGGTAGGGGTAACCCCCTCTGCTTCTAAGTTTGGATTAGGGAGAGCTGTTACTCCAGCCAGTGTCAGTGAGAGGTAGGGGAGGGGCCCGGCCACCCTGTTGTCTAAATGAGGCCTCCACATAGGAAGTGCGATTTCTGCTTTTGTGTCCCCCACCCCATTACCACAGCTGCCTTTGTGTTTGTGTCAATAAAAAGCCAAACCCTGAGTTCTGACCAGATGTTGCTTTTAAGAGTAGTGGGAGTGCCAGGTGGCCCACTCCTTTAATCCCAGCCCTAGAGAGGCAGAGACAGGTGAATCTCTGTGAGTTCAAGACCAGCCTGGTCTACAATGCGAGTTGCAGGATGGCCGGCCTGGGCTACACACAGAGAAACACTGTCTCTTGAGGAAAAACCAAGTGGAAAGAATGAGTCAATGAAAGACCACTGTTGTCAAGTCTGGGTTCTGCCCTCGCCTGCTGGCTCCCTTCCCCTGCAGAGCTCCTACCCTGAAATAAGGAAGGCAGCTTTCACTGTTCTCGGTAGCATTGGGTAGTATGTGATCCCAGTCCCCAGAAGGTGGACATGCCAGCCTAGCTTGATGAAGAAGTGAAGACAGCCAGGCCCTGCTGCCCCGAGGGTACAACTGTCAGGGCCTCCACCTCCCCGCCTCCTCGGGTGGGTTTCTGGAAGTGGATCGACAGGATGTCATGCAATTCTGGGGCATCCAGGATGTCAGGAATATTCGTCACCAGCACTGAGTGAAGCGCTTGCTGGAATTTGATCTAGAAAAAGAGACGGGATGGCAAGGGCTCACTGGAATACAGGGCAGTAGGGAGCAGAGGTCAGAACAAGGAGTAACCCATGAAAACACAGGGTGGGCCTGGAAGCCCATCGAGGATTGGGGGCCCTGAGTCTGCCCCAGGCAGGTGTTTGCAGGTAGATGCTTCCCTGGCCCCACTCACCTTGGCCTCCTGGATCTCCCCACTCACATAGGGAGAGACTCTCAGAGGGACATGCTGCCGGCCCAGTGGCACTCTGAACTGGCCAATCTGGCATAGGTTCTGAGCCACTGTGAGGAATAGGAAGGGGTAGCCTTTGGCATCAAGGCCTCTTCTCTCCCAGTCTCATGCACCCTGACCCCCAGGCTCCCCTGCTGGACCCTTACCCTTTTCATCAGCAAAACCTAGCATGACCGTCCCTTGCAGCATCTCCCGGGCCTCCACATCCCCGCCTCCATTCTTGGCCTTGCCAAAGAAGATCTCCAGCTTGTCTAGCAGCTCCTCCTCACTCAGCTGAAGTCCAGAAGGGAAGCCACTGACTAGCACCCTGTGACTATCTGGCTGGCTGGACACCTAGCAAGACACAGCAAAGGACCCACTCATCCTAGGACCCAGCCGCTGAATCCCACCTACTGCATGGGAAAGGACCCTGCCATTCTGTCACCTGGATGTTGGTCACCACAGGCAGCTCCAAGGGCTGGATCTGCACCCGAAGCCAGCATTCCTCTAAGTCAATTTTATGTTCCTTTTGTTGTAGCAACTGATCAGCCACTGGGGGGCCGGGGTGCAGGCAACAGCAGGTCAGTACTGGGAAACCTTCTGACCTCCCTCCTGAACCTTCTCCAGGCAATCTCCTCCCACCCAAGGCTAACCTTTGGGGTCATCAAAGGTGACCAGAGCAGAGCCTCCAGGCAGAGGGCAGCAGATCTCCAAGTTAGAAACCAGAAACTTGGGTACTTGCCTGCCCTGCTGAGTGCGGCCTTGGAATGCCAGGGGGACTTCGGGCACCGGGAATGGGATCTGGAGGTTGGGAAAGGGAGACAAGTTGTAACCTTCAAGTAGGAGAGGTCCCCACACCCCCTTCTGAGCAGAATGTGCCCCCCAATTCTGTTTGGTTGATGCTCAGTGCAGAATGCCTTTACCCGAAGAGCTGGGCTGTGTGTGTAGGCTTGGCTGCCCTGGAACTCGCTCTGTAGACCAGGCTGACCTCAAACTCACAGAGATCCTCCTGCCTCAGCAGTGATGGAATCAAAGGCGTGTGCCACCATCCATCTCACTCCAGCCACTTTTCATGCAAGCTCCTGGTTTGTCCTCCCACAAGCCTGGGAGGTAGGTACTTTCACGTCACAGATGAGAAGACTGAGATTCAGAGAGCTCAAACAAGCCATGTACTTGAGGTCACACAGCAAGGAATAGTAACATATGTGCCTATGTGTCTGGGCGTATGTCCAGGTACCCACGAAGGCCAGAAGAGGGCGGCGTATCACCTTCATCTGGAGTTACAGGCAGTTATGAGCTGCTCCAGTAGGTGCCTGGAACTGAACCTATGTCCTCTGCAAGAGCACCACAGTCCTCCTAACCACTGGTCGGTCTCTCCAGCCCCTGGCCAGCCCTTTCCGACCAGGAATACCTCATTTCCCACCTCACCTTCTCTTTGGGAGAGCTCAGCTCCCTTTTCTGTTGCTGCAGCTCCTGCAGCTTCATCTTGAGCCTGGATTGCTCCTCCTGAAGACTGCAGAGGACCTGTTGGAACAGAAGGGAAGAAGAAGGCAACCCTTTAATCCCAGCACTGGGGGGGGGGCAGAGGCAGGCGGATCTCTGTGAGTTCGAGGCCAGCCTGGTCTACAGAGTGAGTTCCAAGACAGCCTCCAAAACAATACAGGGAAACCCTGTCTTGCAGGTGGGGAAAGAATGAGGAGGAGGAGGTGGCTCTGGCTGACTGGGAAGAGCAGCAGGAGTTTAGAGCAAGGATAATCCCACCCCAAAGATGAAAGCAACAGAATCCTCTAGAAGGAGCCAGGGCTTAAGGCAGCAAAGCATCATACTAATGTCTGCTAACTTCTGGTTATTCTGGGGATTGAACCCTGGTCCTTGGACATTCAAGGTGTACACTGTCACTGAGGTACACCCTGGTCTATTTGTTTATATTTACTGAGCTAGATCTGTATGCTTTCTACATTTATTTGTATGAGCGTGCATGTCGGAGACCTGAGAGCCAGTTTGCGTTGTGGAGTCAGTTCTTTCTCCTCTCCTTGTGGGCTCTGAGGACTAAACTCGGGTTGCCAGGCTTGCCCAGCAAGTACCTTTGCCCTCTTTTTTTTTTTTTTTTTTTTTTTTTTGGTTTTTTCAAGACAGGGTTTCTCTGTGGCTTTGGAGGCTGTCCTGGAACTCGCTTGGTAGTCCAGGCTGGTCTCGAACTCACAGAGATCTGCCTGCCCCTGCCTCCAGAGTGCTGGGATTAAAGGCATGCGCCACCAACGCCCGGCGTACCTTTGCCCTCTTACCTTCTCTTTCTTCCTTCTTTCCCCACCTCTCTGTCTCAGTCTCTGTCTCTGTCTCTGTCTCTCTCTCTCTCTCGTTTCTTTTATTTTCAAGACAGGATTCTCCAAGGCTGGCCTCAAACTCACTGAGATCTGCCTGCCTCTGCCTCCCGGGTGCTGGGATTAAAGGCGTGCGCCACCCCTGCCAGGTGTAGCCAGGCCATGGATGACCTTGAACTCCAGCTTCCACCTGCTGGCAGCTGGAATTACAGGCGCATGCTTCCACACCTGGGTTATGCAGTGCCAGGGACTGAACTCAGGACTACTCCGGACAAGCATTCTACCAAGCTAAACTACATCTCCAGCCCCTACTTCAGTTGTCGTGAGGCAGGGTGGCAGTATGTAGTCCCCCCTGGACTCACCACACAGCTCAGGCAGGCCTCACACTCACAGTAACCCTCCTACTTCAACCTCCAGAATGCAAGGGTTTCAGGCATGAGCTACCTACCCCACACATAAACTAAACCTTTTGAACTGACTGTATCACTCAATGCTAGTCACAACACTGTGGGGATGCTCTCTTGTCCTTGTTTTATAGATAAGGAGACTTAAAAAGGTTAAAGGATTTGTCACAAGTAAGTCATTTGGCCAGGTAGAGTGAGCCCAGAGGGTTCTACCAACTGGTATTTCCCAATGAAGAAATGAAGTCCTGAGTGGAGAAGTAATTTTCCCATCTCCTAGCTCGTCCTCTTTCCACACACCAGGCAGCCTGTCAGGCTGGTGAGAGTTGGAGGGAGTCCAAAGCCAATACCAACAGAATAGACAGGGAAATGGCACGAGGACTACGACTGAATGCACCTTTGTTAGCGGCAAAGCACAGACATTGGCTGGTGGAGCTCAGGAGGTGGTTAGGAAACCTGATAAGGTTCATCCGGAGAAGGCCTTGGAATGAGCCAACCCTGTCTCGATCCCATCTGTAACCCTAATACCTAGAAAAGTTTGGGACAAAGCAGGTTCAGCAAATGTGTGATGAATGAGTGGAGCCAGTGACAGGATGACGGCACGTGACAGGTGGCGCTGAAGACTTTCCGTGAGAGTCTGCTCTGTTCAAGCAGAGGAAAACTAGAGCTTGACCACATTATGCTGGTTTACGAATAGTGGAAAATGCCGGGCGGTGGTGGCGCATGCCTTTAATCCCAGCACTCGGGAGGCAGAGGCAGGTGGACCTCTGTGAGTTTGAGGCTAGCCTGGTCTACAGAGCAAGTTCCAGGACAGCCTCCAAAACAATACAGAGAAACCCTGTCTCGAAAAACAAACCAAAAAAAAAGTACAATTTCCATTTTATTTTTCTCAGAAGATATTTTGTCTTTCCTTCTTATGAGAAGCTTTTTACAAGGGCTGTGGTGGCAAATCTAAGTCAGGAGTGGGGTCTGGTCCTTCCAGGCTTTAGGGGATCGGTTCCTGACTACCTCACTGTGAGTGCAGCACTGTGTTCAGCTTCGAATAGAATTTGGAAAACCCATGGCCATCAGAGACACTTCAGAAATGTCCCTGGTGGCAGTAGCCTCTACTATGTTCCAAATGACAAACTTCTTGGTAGCCTTGCTGTTGTGTATGCATCCCTATTATAAGCAACGCCACCAACGCCTGGCGGAAATTGTACTTTTAAGAAGTATGGGCAGGCCGGGCATTGGTGGCTCAAGCCTTTAATCCCAGCACTCGGGAGGCAGAGGCAGGCGGATCTCTGTGAGTTTGAGGCCAGCCTGGTCTACAGAGTGAGTTCCAGGACAGTCTCCAAAACAATACAGAGAAACCCAGTCTTGGAAAAAATAAAATAATAAATAAAAAATAAATAAATAAAAAGAAATGCACCAGATGTGGTGGCTATAGTCCCAGCACAAGGGAGGCTGCAGCAGAAAACCAGAATTTGAGGCCAGCTTGGGTTACATATCCAGACTCTGTCGTAACAAATAAGTAGGAAGTAAGCAGATAGAAATGCAAGGGGAAGTGCTCTGAATTCACTGGCAGTTTAGCATTACGGGGCATCAGGGGTCATCTGCATGACTGTTTACCATAAGCAGAGATAACATCCTATCACAAATGGAAGAGATCAAAACCCAAAGAGCACTACCCGGCTAGGTGTGGTGGAGCACAACTTAACCCCAGTTTTGGAGAGGCAGAGTCAGGTGGACCTGTGAGCTTGAGGCCAGTCTGGTTTACATTGTGATTTCCAAGCCAGAAAATGCTGCTAGTGAAACCTTGCCCCAAAGTTAAAATAAAAGACACTCCCTACTGAATATGCGCCTTTTTAACACTATCGTAAGCTGGACCGTTTTGAGTTAAGGACTTATCTGTCTTCTGATCATTGTCTTTATGATAAGTATAACTTTTTAATTGCCTAATCCAAATGCCCACCGAGTTACCAAACAGTGTTGGGCTTAGAAACAGGGACTTATAAATGTTAAACATGTGCTCTATCCCAGAGCCACACCCCTAGTCTAGAAGACCATTTTGTGGTACTTAAATGATAGAGTCCCACTGTTCCTCATTAGCCACTTAACTACTTTCCCTGCCTGATGGTATTAGGCTAAAATGGTGGTGGTGTGGAGGTACTGGTGAGATGCTTAGTGATAAAAACACTGACACACAAGACTGATGACTTGAATTTGACCCCAGATCAATGATGGGAGGAGGGAGCTTCCTGAAAGTTATCCTGTGACTCACCATGGCAAGTATGCTCACATACACACAGGCAGACAGGCGCGCGTGCATACACACACACACACACACACACACACACACACACACCAGTAATAAAGATTATGTAGTGATTAAAAGACGCATTATTGGCAAGGCTGGAGAGATGGCTCAGTATTTAAAAGCACTTGCTGGCCAGACAGTGGTGGTGCACACCTTTAATCCCAGAATTTGGGAGGCGGAGGTAGGCAGATCTCTGTGAATTCGAGGCCAGCGCCTGGTCTACAGAACTAGTTCTAGGATAGCCAGGACTACACAAAGAAACCCTATCTTCAAACAAACAAACAAAGGAACAAAAGCACTTTGCTACTCTTGCAGAGGGCTCAGATTTGTTTCCCAGCACCCACATATTGACTCACAACCATCCTTAATCTACCTGAAGGGGATCCAACATTGTCTTCTGACCTCCAAGGTTATACACATGACACACATAGATACATGCAAGTAAAACAATCATACTAATAAAATAAGATGAGCCAGGTGGTGGTGGCACACACCTTTAATTCCAGCACTGAGGGAGGGAGGCAGAGGAAGGCAGATGTTCAAGGCCAGCCTGGTGGTCTACAGAGTAAGTTGCAGGACTCCAAAAGCTGCAAAGAGAAACCCTGCCTCAAAAAAAAAAAAAAAAAAAAAAAAAAGTAAATAAATCTTGGGCTGGAGCTCTGGCTCAGAAGTAACTGGTTGTTCTTGTAGAGGACATACATTCAATTCCCAGCACCTACATGGTGACTCACAACCACGTGTCACTCCAGTTTCAGGTGCTCCAATGTCCTCTTCTATCCTCCACAGGCAGGCACAGGCATGCAAGTGGTACACAGACATACATGCTGACAAGAAACCCACATAATGATAAAAAATAAATAAAAATAAAAATTTCAGGACTGGAGAGATGGCTCAGAGGTTAAGACCACTGACTGCTCTTCCAGAGGTCCAGAGTTCAATTCCCAGCAACCATATTGTGGCTCACAACCATCTGTAAGGAGATCTGGTGCCCTCTTCTGGCATGCAGGCAGTAACACTGTATATATAATAAATAAATCTTTAAAATAAACAAGTAATTTTTCCAGAACAGATAAATTGATCTAAACCAATTTTTAAAAATGATGATGGGACTAGAGAGATGGCCCAACAATTATAAACACTTAAGTTTAGGTCCCAGGATTTTTTTTCAATGTGTATTGGTATTTTGCCTTCACATATGTCTGTGCCCGAAGAAGGTGCCAGATCCTCTAGAACTGGAGTTGCAGAAGGTTGTTACCCTCCACGTGAGTGCTGGGAATCAGACCCTGGTCCTCTAGTAGAGTTGTCAGTGCTCTTAACCAATGGGCTCTCTCTCTAGTAGAATTCCCAGGATTTAAACATTTAAACACACACACACACACACACACACATACACACACACACGTTTTGCTTGCATGTATGCCAGTGCTCCGTGTGCATGTCTGGTGCCTGGAGAGGCCAGCAGAGGACATTGAATCATTGAATGCCCTGCACCTAGAGTTGTAAGTCATGGATGCTGGTGGCGGGAACTGAAGCCGGGACCTCTGCAAGAGCAACACACACTCTGAACTGCTGAGTCTTCTCTCCAGGCCTCTGCTGTACTTTTAAAGTCGAGGTCTCTCGTTGGTGCAGTAGGCCAGGGTGGCTCCCGACAAACCCCAGGGGTGCGTCTCTCTTCCTCCCACTGCTGGGAGTACAAGCACACTTCACTGCACGCAGCTTGTTACCTGGGTTCTGAGATCTGAGTTCCTTCTCATGCTGGCAAGATAGGCAGTTTACAGACCGGTTCTCTCCCTACCCCTCCCTATAGGGATCCTTCTGAGGAAGTTTAATATCCCTTCGTAGTAAGCCAGGACACGAGAATTAGATTGTAACCTCCAGAAAGGCTAATGACTAGTCCAGGGCAACATGATCTGAAAAGGCTAGGATTCAAAACGAGGCAGGTTTACTCTGGAAGCCTGTAGTTTTTATTATATCCGAGAGGCAAATGAAAGCTTGCCAAGCAAAAGAACTAAGGAGAAGAGGAGTCTGGGAAAGCTCGGAGGACAAGCTGCACTGGATCCTTCCTCAGAGGTGGCTGTCGTCCACTGTAGGACAGATGCTGTTTGCTCCTGCGGTCTCACTAGCTGCTGGCAGCCGATTTCACAGCTCCACCTAGCTGCTTAGGAACCGGCTGCCTGAGCCACCGTGAAGTGAACACTCAGAGGAGACCACTTGTCCCAAGAAGAACTAATAGGTCTATATGGAAATCGAGGGGAGGAGTCTGGGGCCGGGAGATACCTCGGGGCGTTCCTATTTCTCATTAGAGCAGGTACCAACGTTAAGTATCTACAAAAACCAGAAACATGTATCCACACAGAATTAAAACATGTATCCACGGCGGTCGGTGATGGTACATGCTTTTAATCCCAGCACTTGGGAGGCAGAAGCAGGAGGATCTCTGTGAGTTCGAGGCCAGCCTGGTCTACAGAGCGAGTTCCAGGACAGGCTCCAAAAGCTACAGGGAAACCCTGTCTCGAAAAGCAAAAACAAAAAAATAAAAATAGTATCCACACAGAATGAGCACGGTCCTGACCTGCGGGTGTCGAGTCCTGGTCTCTGAAGCAGTATGTAAAGTGACCAGCTCCACAGCCTCAGGTGACCCCGTTCTCTACTTCAGGGGCAGCCGTGAGATGAGCCTAGAGCACTCTGTATTCACACACACACAGGGACCACTCCCGCTCCCTTACTTACATCTTGGAGGGTCACAGACATAGTCACACCTGGTTAGCAAAAGCTGAGGCTTCCGATCAGGGCACAAGGTCCTGGAGGACTAAACTCTTGCTTGGACCCTGTAGAGGGAGTTTTGGTTTCCTCAGGGTCCAAAACCAATCCAACCACTTCTGCTTGCAAGCTTTGCTTCTACTTTCGTTTCCGTGAAAACCCGCCTCCAAGCACAGCCCCACCCCTGGGAGGAGCCTTCCAAGTCTTCTATCCCAGCCAGAGGACTGAGAGTTGGTCGTACACACTAGGGAACACAAAGGGGGTACTGGCCCCAACTAATCTTCCCAGGCAGCCAATTCTGGAATTAACCAGTTGGTAGGATCCCTCTAACTCTTAAGTTTTTTTTTCCCCCAAAGATTTTATTTATGTAGGAGTGCTCTATTTGCATGTACACCTCTGTGCCAGAAGGGGGCACCAGATCCTAATATAGATGGCTGTGAGCCACCACGTGGTTTCTGGGACTTGCACTCAGGACCCTGGAATAGCAGCAGCCTGTGCTCTTCACCACCAAGCCAACTCTCTAGATTGTTCTCTTTTTTAAAGACAGGCTCTCAGTACATAGCGGTAGCAGCTTTGAACTCTGTTTGCTTCCAAAACACTGAGATCATAAAGATATGCCATAGTACATCCATTGTTTTTTGGTTTTGAGACCTGGTTTCTATGTAACAGTCCTGGCTGTCCTGGAACTCTTTGTAGACCAGGCAGGCCCCAAACTTATGAGATCCACCTGCCTCTGCCTCCCAAGTGTTGGGATTAAAGGCGAGTGGCACCACCACCCAGCTCCAGATCTTCTTTTTAAAATTGTGGGGACAGGGGGAATCCACACACCATTGTTAAGGCAAGGTGGAAACAGGACTTTTATGAGCTGTCATGTCGATTCTGGGGACACTAACCCACGAAGCCATCTTGGGCATACCCATCCCTATTTTCCAACAGGGTTCAGGGTAGCACTAGCTGTCCAAGAACTCTGTAGACCAGACTGACCTCCAATCCAGAGATCTGACTGTCACCCTCCCATATTTAAATGAGTCTGTGTGATGTGGATTCTAGGAAACTGTAGTCCTAGGAGTACCGGCCCCAGGATTTCTCTGAACTGTGCTGTGTTGAGACATGACCAGTTTTTTATATTAACACATAAGTACCATGTCCCTTTTAAATATTGTCTGACTGCAACCTGCCTCTCCACTGCTATGGATCTACATTTTTTTTTGGTGTTCCTGGAGGCACTTTAACTCACTTTGTAGTCCAGGATGGCCTTTGGATGTGAGATCCCCCTGCCTCTGCATGCTGGAATTAAAGGCATGAGCCTCACTTCCTTTCATGCAGTGTAGTCAAGGACCTGGGTTACTAGGACGAGGTTCCTAACGGGAGACAGGCTGATCCCCCCTCCCCTGCTTTGGTAGAAAGCTGAACTGTTCTGCATCTCATTAGTAATAAGGGTCAAGGGCAGCGCCTGGGCAAAGGTTCAATAAGAACCACTTTCTTCAAGGAGGCCATCAATCCAAGTCTTTTAGAAACACACATGAAGCAGTCAGACACAAGTTTTTGTTTTTTAAACATTTAATGATGGAAACAAAAATATACCTAAAAGCGAAGCTTCTGGAAAAACCATTTGTTCTTCCCTGTCTTATATCTAGGAAAAAAGAAAAAGAACACATGAAAAAAATTGGAACAGAAAATCCAATTCTTTCACAGAAGTATTCAATAAACACAGGCCTTACTTACCGTTCCTCAAACTTGACCTTGGCTTCCCGCCTGGCCTTGCGTTTCAGGGCTGGGTCTCTAAAGACATCCTTATTGACAACAGTTTTGTCCAAGGGGATGTCCACAGAGTACCTGGGGCAATGGAGCACAGGCAAAATTAGCTAGGGACTCAGCTGTAAAAGAAATCATTTCTGGAGGGCAACTGGAGAGATGATTCAGTGGTTAAGAGCACTGACTCCTATTCCAGAGAACCCAAGTTCAATTCTCAGCACCCGCAGACAAAACATCTACACAAAAAGAAAAGAAGCTTCCCCTCTATAGCCATGGCTAGCCTAGAATTTAAAGAGATTTCTAATTATGTGCATCTGTGCACATGGGAATCCAAGAAAGGATATGGAATCTCCAGGAGCTGGAGTACAGACAGCCTTCAACTATGTAACACTGATGCATTCTTGAAACTAAACTTAGCCTGCTTAGCAAAAATAAGCACCCGAAGCTGGGCGTTGGTGGTGCACGCCTTTAATCCCAGCACTGGGAGGCAGAGGCAGGTAGGTGGATCTGTGAGTTCAAGGCCAGCCTTGTTTACAGATCGAGTTCCAGGACAGCCTCTAAAACAATAGAGAAACCCTGTCTTGAAAAACAAGCAAAAACAAAACAAAACAAAACAAAACACCACCCAGGAATAATCACCCGTAACGGCTAAGTCATTTTCCCAGTGTGGAAGCCCTCTCCTTCCATATATATATATATACACACATTCATTCCAGGGATTGAACTCTGGCCACCAACAGCAGACACTACACTGTCTCAGAGTCCACAGGGAATCTTGTATAACAGCGGGAGAAGGTAGATCAAGCTGTCTTGTCTACCCTTGAGGGACAACAAATGCAACAATCTTTACTTAAAAAAAAAAAAACCTCAATCCTACTTAGTCAAATGGAGACCCAAAGGCAAGGGGGGGGAGCAGAGACCGGATGCTGACACCTGTAACCCAGAGTATAGGATCTCAGATGTGAAGAAAACCTTTTGCTAACAAATCAAAAACCTATTCAACACTCAGGAGAAGAAGACAGATAGATTTTGAGGCCAGTCTGGGTCTAGAGACCTAGTTCCAGGACAGTTAGAACTACAGAGAACCCGTCTTGAAAAACCCTACCGCTGCAGATAGGAGGAACTTAGGAGACAAAAAAAAAAAAAAAAGGAATTCTTCAATATGGAGGAAAGAGTAAAATAAAGTCACTCCCCTCCCCCATGACTCCGAGGTAGAACCCAGGGTCTTGCATCTGCTGGGCAGTGTACTGTTGAACAATGTTAACATTCTCAAAACCAAAGGAAGCAGATCCAAAGGTAGGAGGGAAAAGAGAAAATGACCAAACACTGGTTTTCTTTTACCAAAGCACCCACAAGGCTGCCTCTTCCCCAGGAGGAAATGAAGATCCACAATTTTCCATTTTGCTCACCTTGTGGGCATGAGGTGATTGTAGTTATAAACTTTCACAAAAGACTTGATCTTTGATCGCTTGGCGATTTTCTTCTTGCCCATGGCAGCAGTCACTTTTCGGGGATAGCGGTCAATTCCAGCCACCAGGGCATGGCTGTAAGGGCGGTCTGAGGTGCCGTCGTCAATGTTCTGAGGGGGGGAAAAAACCACAATAAAGAAGTTTTAAAAATCACTTTACCTCTTGGACTCCACCTTGGTAAAACTGTATGTTCATTAAACATACACCCTCCACACACAATCACTCCATGCTAAGCTCAGTAACTGTGAAGTCAATGTTAACCCCCATCACAAGACTTTGCAAAAGCTTTCCAGAGGCACGTGTAAGTTCCATCAAAACATCCATGCCCCCACGTTGGCACACGCCTTTAACCCCCGCACGCAGGAGGCAGTTCCAGGAGAGCCAGTGTAATGCTAGCTGCTATCTACCTAATCTAATTTGATAATGAAGGTTAGAGGGGAGACTTCAGGGCTGGCAGTCCAGCCAGAGAGACCAGTCTCAAATGGCAGGAGCAGAAGCCAATGTCCCCAACCAACAGCAAAAGTCTCAAATATACCCAGGGGATGTTAGAGATGAACGCAGTCTCTCCCTTTCCAGACTCTCAGCGGCAGCACCGATTACTGTGACATTACATAATTTAACATCTCTAAACTTTAGTAAGTGAACCAAATCTCTTAGGTTACGAACTACACACCACACCTGTAAGATGCTCTCAATACACGACGGCCACTATTAAATATTTAAAGTCTATTCGGTGGAGATCACAGGATGTGTCTGGATCCCGACTCAACTTATACTTGCTCCAGACCTATCTATCATGCACAGACCACACGAAGTTTGGCCGCCACGTTCACTGGTTATTTCCCAGGAAGAGAATTTAAATTCCGATCCCGTCTGTCCTGTACACACTCTACACTGCAGCCCAACTCTCCGCATGCAAGCAGAGGGTCTGGTACCTTCACGATGACGGCTTTGCGTCCGGAGTAGCGTCCAGCCAGGACCAGCACCACTTTCCCGGGTTTCATGAACTTGCCCATTTCTGTAGAACAAAGACAAGGAACCGCTCAGGAAGTTGTAAAGCCTAAGGCTCAGAAGCCGACTTTCTCTGTGCGAGCCCGGGTCGCAGGCCCGCGGCTGTAGATCGCTCGCTACCGACAAGGCCACGCCGCCCGCAGGTTCTGATCGAGCGATGCGACTCGCCACGAAGCCGCCAAAGGCTCAGAGTCGGAACGCGACCAGCCACCCGATCCCGGGGCCGCGATGGCGGCGGATTGCAAGACCCTCTCCAGGCCTCCACTCACCGACAGCAAGCAGCCGGTTCCCAGCAGAAAGGAAAGAAGGACACTTCCGCTAACCTTTCACCCTGCGGAGCGGTGGCTTCACTTCCTGTCCCGCCTTTCAGGCTCCGTAGCGCCTCTCGGTTGGTGGTCAAAGTAGCTGGCGGAAGGAGTTCTTTGAGGTCGCGTCGGGCAGCGCGTTTATTTGAATCAAGCTTTATTAGCAGCACTAACGGCAGACAGGAACAGAGAATTCAGTCTCTGGCGTTTGCAGGGAGGGGCAAAGAGGACACGTGAGTCTGCATTCTCTCCGCTCGGTCGCTTCCTCCGTTGTAGTCCCCTACTCTGCCACTAGATGGGGGACACAGTCTGAAATTTACAGTTTTGCCAGGGAACCAGGTTTTTTGTTTGTTTGTTTTGTTTTTTGTTTTTTCGAGGGGCAGGGTTTCTCTGCGGCTTTGGAGGTTGGCCTGGAACTACCTCTTGTAGACCAGACTGGTCTCGAACTCAGATCCATCTGCCTGCCTCCTGAGTGCTGGAATTAAAGGGGAACTTTTGTAAACTCTGTAATCCCAATTTTCGGGGACTGAGACAGATTTCCAGTTTCAGTCTAACCTACATTACGTAGAGAACCCCTGTCTTCAATAAATAAATTAAAAAGTAAAAGTCGGGGGCTGGAGAGATGGCATAGAGGTAAAGAGCCCTGGCTGCTTGCTCTTCCAGAGGACCTGGGCTCTGTTCCCTGTACCCACATCAAATGGTTCACAACAGCCTGTAACTCCAACTCCAGGAGATCCAATGCCTGTGGCTTCTATCCTTAGTCCAGTAGATAACAGTTGACATCATTGAGTTGAACATTGGAGATAAGAACATTTGATTGTTTTTTTTTTTTTTGGTGTTGTTTTGTTTTGTTTTTCTTTTCTTTCTTTCTTTTTTTTTGTTTTTTTTTTTTTTTTGTTTTTCGAGACAGGGTTTCTCTGTAGCTTTGGAGGCTGTCCTGGAACTCACTTTGTAGACCAGGCTGGCCTCGAACTCACAGAGATCCGCCTGCCTCTGCCTCCCGAGTGCTGGGATTAAAGGCGTGCACCACCAACACCCGGCTTTGTTTTGTTTTTCGAGGCAGGGTTTCTTTGTGGCTTTGGAGGCTGTCTTGGAACTAGCTCTTGTAGGCCAGGATGGTCTGGAACTCACAGAGATCCGCCTGCCTCTGCCTCCCAAGTGTTGGGATTAAAGGCGTGCGCCACCACGCCCGGTTTATTTGCTTGGTCTTCCTTTCCTATTTTTCACCTAACAGTGCACAGGTCATTTTGTTCCCTATGACTTTTACTTTTTTTTTCTTTTTTAAAGCTATATCTTTATTTACTTATTATGTATAGTGTTCTGCCTGCATGCATGCTTGGAAAGGAAAGTCAGGGCTTACTCTGCAGCTAAGATTGGCCTGGAACTCACATCATAGCTTAGGCTAAAATCAACTTTCAGTGAATCTCCTGTCAACTTAATGAATCCTAGAATTACAGGTGTGAACCACCACACCCAGCTTATATTTACATTTCTATATCCAATTAAATTGATATGCATACATATATATTAAACTATATACCCAAAGCTGCACTTGAACTCATGGCAATCCTCCTGCCCCAGTCTCTTCCATCTGTGACTATAGGCATGGGTCATCATGCCTGGCTGCAATTAGAATCTATTTTCTGAAGCAGGAGGAAGCATTTCCCAAGGTGATGGATGACCAGAACAGGCCCCCAACCTACCAATTTTAAAAACATTAAAAAAATTGTAACGTGTGTGGTCTTTGACTTAAATGTATGCCTGTGCATCTCATACATGCCTGCACAGATTCCCTGGAACTTTAGTTACATAGGGCTGTTAGCCACCACATGGTGCTGGGAATTAAACCCAAGCATCTCTGGAAGAGCAGCCAATGCTGTTAACCACTGAGATGTCGCCCCAACCTCCACCCACCAGTTTTGAATAGATTTTTTTTTTATTTTTGGCTTTTCGAGACAGGGTTTCTCTGTGGCTTTGGAGCCTGTCCTGGAACTCGCTCTTGTAGACCAAGCTGGTCTTGAACTCACAGAGATCTGCCTGCCTCTGCCTCCCGAGTGCTGGGCTTAATTGAATAGAATCTTGAAGGGGCTAAATTCTTCCACTCTCACAACTGAATTTAAGTTTCCGTCCTCTGAAAAGGACACACAGGTGTCTCTCCCAACAAACTGCTGCTTGCTTAACCAATTATGTCACTGCCCCTAAAATGCCCCTTAGCTGTGCTTAAAAGCAGCCTGCACGTCCCTCTCGGGATTATCGCCATTTTGTTCAGGTGAACGGCCCACATGCACGCTGGCGCAATAAACATGCTATACTATTTGAGTGTGGGGTCTGTCTTCAGTATTGCCTTGGATCCTGCAATCTTCGTGAAGGAGCAACTGACCAGTACATTCATCCTCTTCCACTTGACTTGATGTCCCCATACCAACTTCCCTACACATCTCGGCTGCCATGATGCTCAGTGTGAACCTGCAGACTCATACCGAGATCTCCTGAAGGCTGCCTCCTGACTGACAAGTGTCATCCCAGGATCACTGCATTGGAGAACACAAAGTATGAGCACTGGAGAGAGAGCCTGGGTACCTGCCTGGCAAAAACTAATGGGGAAGAAGGAAATGGCTTGTAAAAGCTATTATGTAGCTCAATAAGAGGATCTCTGTCCAGAGTGGAGCCCCATGACTATAATCCCAACTCTCAGGAGGCAGTCAACAGAGTATCAGAATTTCAAGGTCATCCTCAGTTACATGAGGTCAAGACCAGCATGGGCTATAGAAGACTGCCTTGGTTGGCACATACCTGTTAGAGACAGGAGGATCTCTGTGAGTTCGAGGCCAGCCTGGTTTACATATCAAGGTCTAGGACAATATAGTGAAACCCTGTCTTTAAAACACCAAAACAGAAACAAAAACAAAAATCCAAGATTCTGGAGTGCTACAGTTAAGAGCACTCACTGCTCTTCCAAAGGACATGAAAACACACCTTTAACTATAGCATTCAGGCAGAGGCAGGTAGCTCTCTGAGTTCAAGGCCAGCTTAGTCTAAACAGTGAGACCCCGTTTTAAAACAAAAACACTTGTTTGGAGGGGATGGCAGCACACACTTGTTTAAGTTCATGCTCAGCTACACAGCAAGTTTGAGGTCAGCCTGGCTACATGTTTCTCTAAACAAACACCAGACTCTATAGAATATTTTAGAAACCTTTTTTTAAATTTATTTATTTATATGAGTGCTCTATCTGCATGTACACTTTTATGCCAGAAGAGGGCATCAGACCCCACTATAGACGGTCATATCCACCCATATTGTTGCTGAGAATGGAACTCAGGTCTTCTAAAAGAGCAGACAGTGCTTTTAACTGCTGAGCCATCTCACCAGCCCTGGAAACCTGTTTTTTTTGTTGTTGTTGTTTGTTTGTTTGTTTGTTTGTTTTGGTTTTTCAAGACAGGATTTCTCTCTGTATTGCTTTGGAACCTGTCCTGGAACTCGCTCTGTAGACCAGGCTGGCCTTGAACTCACAGAGATCCTCCTGCTTCTGCTTCCCAAGTGCTGGGGTTAAAGGCGTGCGCCACCACCGCCAGGCTTTGTTTTGTTTGCTGTTTTGAGACAGGCTTCATTACATAGCCTTGCCTGGCCTAGAGGTCACTATGCAACAAGCTGGCCTCAGACTTGTGGCAATTTAACTGCCTTTGCCGTCTCAGTGCTGGCACTCCATGCCCGGCCCTCCCCATTTCTTAAAAGTTGCATCAATTTTGTCTGTATATGTGTATGAGTGCGCACATGCCATGGTGCATGTGTGGAGGTCAGGACGACATGAATGCATTGCTTCTCTTCAGGTCATCAGGCTTGGTGCTAAGTGCCTTTACCTGTTGGCCCATCTCACTGGCCAAATTTTATTTTATTTTTCTTCAAGTCTCATGTGTCCCAAGCTAGCTTCAACTTTGCAGCAATGCTCAAGTATCTGATTCCTCAGTGCTGGGATTTTAGGCGTTAAAATACCATACCCTTTCTGGTGTTGTTTTTGTAATTTTACATGGTCCAGGTTGGCCTCAAACCTGAGCTCCTCCTGTACCGAGGGCTGAGCATACAGGCATGTCCCACCATGCCCAGCCCCATAGCTCTTCACTTCATTCTTTAACATCCTTAGACTTGACTGTCGCTCCTCTCCCTTCCTGGGTTGTACTCCGAGCCAGGGACAGATTCATATTGTTAGAGGCAGCTCCTTCCCTAGCAGAGATGGCTGCTGGGATGCTAGGGGTCTTTTGTGGGTACTTATCTTTAGGCTTCATGAAGAACTTGGCATAGCAATGCCTATCTGCCCCACAGCCTACAACCTAGTACCTTGGCAGCTGGAATTTCTGGCAAGTATTTAGGAAATACTTAGTGCTCTCGACAGTAAAGGTAAAATTAAGGGATGGAAACAGGAGAGATAAACAACTTAAACACAGAATGACACAGTGAGGGGACATGATGGAGCATAAAGACGAGAAGCATTGGATTTAGGTGACTTGAGTTCAAATGTCAATCTTTGGGCACCCTTCAGTTCAGGTTCCACAGCTGTGATGGGGAAGAGTGGTAACAATGTCATGCATTCTAAGTAGGGAGAGTGAAATTAGGATGGCACAACAGAAAAATACCTTCCACTCCGATAGCACAAAGTCTTCATGCAAACAAGGATTACAAAAACATGATGCGCCGGGCGTTGGTGGCACACACCTTTAATCCCAGCACTTGGGAGGCAGAGGCAGGCGGATCTCTGTGAGTTCGAGGCCAGCCTGGTCTACAAGAGCTAGTTCCAGGACAGCCTCCAAAGCCACAGAAAAACCCTATCTCGAAAAATCAAACAAAACAAAACAAAACAAAACAAAAACATGACGCACAAGCCTGGTGATGAGTTCAGCTTCCGGAACCCACATAAAGGTAGAAGAACTAACTCCACAGATGAGCCACAGATCTCCTGCTCCACACACAAACCCCACACACATACAAACCTAAGTTAAAGCAGTACAGGGGCAAATCTGGGTCGTGCAATATAGCTATACCAGTTCTCATTCGCCCTAAACACTGACAGCCTGATGAGTGGACTTAACAGTACCAATTTCCAGAGGTAGCATGTGTGACAACATCCACTGCAATGTTGCTGCTTTAGCCTGAGAAACATGAATGAAAATGACCACAGCATTTTTTAGGGAATTTTTTTGGGGGGATTTGAGGCAGGGTTCCTCTGTGGCTTTGGAGGCTGTCCTGGAACTAGCTCTTGTAGACCAGGCTGGTCTTGAACTCAGAGATCCGCCTGCCTCTGCTCCCCTGAGTGCTGGGACTAAAGGCGTGTGCCACCACCACGTGGCTTTTTAGGGAATTTGACCAGGCAAAAACAATACACATACAAACCACTACTGCCACCAAATCCTGACTTGATCCAGGGCAGAGAGGAAGTAGACAGTTCTTAAAGAAATACTGACCTAGATTACAAGGGCTAATAGGACTAGAGAAACTTAGAAAGCAGAAGGGAGATACGGGCTTTGCTGAGAAGCTACACAAAATATTGTAATTTTATTACCGACCACAGATAAATCATTGTTTATGATATTTTACAATTATCTTTTTTTCCGTGGGGGTGGTGCTGAGGATTGAACAAGGCCCAGACAGGCCAGGCTTGCATCCCAAGCTCTGAAACACTATTGTGCTTCATAGGGAAACTGCATTTATTTCCATTAAATGTCAATGATGCATCATAGGTGACACGTTACTAAAACAAGTTAAAGTGTACTTGGCAGTTTAGTGCACACATCTTCGGTGAGTGCAGGAACATGTGCAGGTTGCCAGCTGAAAGACAGGGGAGTCACTTTCACAGACGTGCAGTGTGGCCTGTATGGAGATCAGTAATAATCCCCAGGCCTGCTGCTGAGCACCTTCCCTGTCAGACATTCTTCAGGTCAAGGGGTGCCAGCGGGTCACAAGGGGACCGTGCCACTTGTCACTGTGTGTACTATGCGCTCTTGAGTGACAAGCATTTTTCTGAATGCTTTCATTTCCAAAGACTGTCAGTCCTGAGAGTGTCACAGAGGAAAGTGACTTTCCAGAGATAGTACCTGACATCAGGTGTCGTTCTTCGTAACTGGAAGAGCACTGTCTGTGTGAGGATTACCTCAGCAGGGAGATTTCTGTTCTCATCTTAGACTGACACTAAAAGTCCCTTAGGAGAAAGGGAATCAGAGTTCTTAACTGGAATTATAGTTCTGGCCCTAGGACTCTCTCAGCTGCTTCAGAAGGAGACGACTGCTCCCAACTGAATTAGCAGGAGCCTCAAGCTCAGTGTCTTCCAGAACTTCCTCACAGTGACTTGCTGCCGTGAAGAGATGGGGGCCCAACCTGCGTTTTCTAAAGTCAGCCACGCCACAGTGAGTCGGGCATCAGCTATGTGTGGTAACTGATCTGCTGACGCAGTGGAACAGGTACACTGTGGTGGGCTGGGGCGCCTCTCTGCTGGCTTTCAATGTCCTCAGCGTGGCTGTGTGCTTGGAAAACAGACACACACCCCTGAGCAACAGCACCTCTAGTCCTGACTCTTTTCCAGATTTTATCATTCAACTGATTTGTGTTTGGGCAGGGGTGCACACAGTTCATGTGTGGAGGTATGAGGACAATTTGTGAGAGGACTGTCTCTCCTTGTACCATGTGGGTCCCCAGCATCAATCACTCAGCTTGTCAGGTGTGACAGCAAGCATCTTTACCTGCTGAGCCATCTCTCAGGCCCCTGACACAATGTTTGATGACAGTCTCTGGCACATCTTTCTAATACGCTAAGAGGAAAACAGACTTTGCCTCCATTTGGCTGACCACCAGGAAAGGGTTTAAGAAGATGTTTATAACCATCCCTCTAGCTCCCCGGCTTGTACTGTACAACACTGGGTCCTCTACCTCTTCAGAGCAAGGCGGTGGGGGCCCAAGGTCGGGGTTCTCATCAAAAGGCATCCTTGATGTTCTTGAGCTGGCGCACCGCCAAGTCTACAGGAAGGCTGAACTTGAGGCTGCTGAGGCGGCTGAGCAAGTTGAGGGCACTCTCGAAACCTGTGTGGGCCATGTAGCTCCAGGGCTGGTAATGGGGCTCGATGAGGGACCCTGACTTGCAGATGAGGTTCACCCAGGACACCAGGCGCTGCTCATTTAGTGCCATGCACACTAATGCCTTTAGCTCCGAGTCCGCACTGCGTTTGAACGGGTCATGCTCTGTCAGCACCAGGTGGATGGCGGTCAGAAGGCTCTGTTTGGGGGTCACAGCGCTGCCACCCATTACAGGAAGGGCGAAGGACTGTGAGAGTTTCCGGGCCGGGGAGTCCACATATGCACGGCCATTCTTGGCATGATAGTACTTTACAAAGAGTTCCCAGGGGTGCATGGCCTCGGGGGCTGAGGAGAAGGCTGGCAACAGACAAGCAATGGGGGCCATGACAAGGCTCATCCCAGAGGAGGAGGCATATAGACCATGGGCCAGCAGATCCCTCACAGCCACTGTCAGCTCCTTCCGCACAGCCATGGTCAGCTCGTCCTTGCCTCCTAGAGACAGGTCCTGGAGGTTGGCCGAAGTGATGACATGGCCATGTGGCTGATGTCTCAAGGCTAGCTGCTTCACTCTGTCCACTGACACCTCCAGCCTTTTCAGTAAGGGCGAGTAGTCTCTGTCTGCCTGGCCCCTCTGCCACAAGGACTGAGGGATCTGGCCTGTGGCACAGCCCAACTGGCTAACAGCAAAGATCTGGAGCACAGCCAGCGCTCGACGCATCAGGTGTAGCCCCGTTTCCCGGGCTCTCTTCACGTCTTCTGCCTTTGCTGCTTAGAAAAACAGCGATTTGTTAGAAAGAGGCCAAAACGACACAGAACATTCAACAAGCCAAGAACAAGTCTTGCACCTAAACCACAGGACAGGTGCCACACAAAGGCAAGGATATAGCTGGACTGACTTATTTTTGACTGATGATACTAGCTGTAATTGACATAGTGTGTAGACATCCATTTCTAGTATACAATTCAGGCTATTGGTTTTTTTTCACGCAGGATCTTGCTATTATGGCAATCATCACCTCTCAACGTCCCTACTGATGGGATTTGAAGCAGACACCACTATGTCCAGGTTGGCCTCAAAGTAGCTTCCTGCCTCAGTTTCTCCAGTGGTAGGATTACGGGTATATGCTACCATGTTCAGCTTCTTTGGTTTTGTTTTTGGTGCTCATGATTAAATCCAGGACTCTAGGTCCATCCACACTAGGTATATACTGGCCACCTCTCCCAGATCTAGTCATTTTTTAAAAATTATACTTAAGAATTGTACATACATCATCATAATCCATATTAGAATGCTTTTATCATGCCTCAAAGAGAGCCTACACCATTATCATTTCCTCTTCCCCATTTCTCCCTAAGACCCAAGCAATCATTAGTTCATTAATCTGCATGCGTGCGTGTGCGTGTGTGTGCGTGTGTGTGAGTGTGTGTGTGTGTGTGTGTGTGTGTGTGTGAGTGTGTGTGTGAAAATGTTCATAAGGTCAGAGGACAACCAGAGAGTAGCCCTGGGGATCCAACGCATGCCCTCAGGCTTGTCAGCAAGCACCATTACCTGCTGAGCCGATCTTACAGTCCTTTCTTTCTGTCATGTAGAATCTCAATATGTAGTCCAGATTGGCCTGGAACTTTTTTCCCCAATCATTTGCTCTTAACTGCTGAGCCATGTCCAGCCCCCAAGCCGTCTCTCCAGCCCCAGTCTTGAACTTTCAATCCTCCTGCTTCTATCTCCCACTTTCTGCTTTTGTAACCTGTTCATTCTAGGAGCTGTACTTACTTTTTCCGGCTCCTGGGGGCAGAGTGCTGCTGCCCATCCTGGTGGAGCTATCTCCTGTCTTCCCGCTGGCCTTGCACTCACAGGGTCCACTTGTCTGCAAGGGGCTTCCCACTTCATCTATCATCAGAGATCATAAAACCAAGACACTTATTTATCCCCTCCACAGCAGATTTTATTTTATTTATTTATTTTTTTTTTTTTTTGGTTTTTTCGAGACAGGGTTTCTCTGTGGCTTTGGAGGCTGTCCTGAAACTCACTTTGTAGACCAGGCTGGCCTCGAACTCACAGAGATCTGCCTGCCTCTGCCTCCCGAGTGCTGGGATTAAAGGCGTGCGCCACCAACGCCTGGCCAGATTTTCATTTTTTATTTTATTTTATTTTTGGTTTCTCAAGACAGTGTTTCTCTATGTAACTTTGTAGACCAGGCTGGCCTCGAACTCAGAGATCCGCCTGCCTCTGCCTCCTTAGTGCTGAGACTAAAGGTGTGTGCCACCACTGCTGGGCCTCATAGCAGATTTTTAAAGGGAAAAGGAATAGTTAATAATGCCTACTATATGACCAGAACTTTATAAATTATTGTGTTTTACTATGTGAAAGGTACCTGGTACAGCATAATTAGCACAATAAATATTTGCTTGGCAAATGAAGAATGAATCATCCCTATTGAGAGAGTAAGACTAAGAGGGGAGGAATCTGCTCAAGGACATGAGGCCAGCAGTGACCCTGAAAAAACACCCTTCGAGATAATGTTCTTTCCATTCTTCTGTGGCATGCATAAGAGGTCTCCTGCAGGCTGGCCTATAACTGAGAGATCTGCCAGCCTCTGCCTTTCTGTATTTGAGGACTAAAGGCAAAGAGCACCACACCCATTTCAAGCCTTCAATTCTCTTAAACACAGTGAGAAGTGGCCCCTTTAGATAGGAGTTCTCAGACCACACAACCAAGGCGCTGTTCAGGCTGCTGCTTCCCCGATGCTCCCCTGACCTTGGATGAAGCTGATGAACATCTCAAGGTCTCGGATCTGGGTTTTCAGTTGCTCAACCAACTGTTCTTTCACCCGGGCTGGGTTGACAATCTGAGCCACTGCGGCATCCACACGCTGACGAAGCTCCTCGGTTGACAGGGAACTAATATCTTCATTCAGATTCACATCCAGTTTCTTTAGTAACTCGTCGATGATCACCTACCAAAACACAGCAACGAGTGTACCCTCTGAAATTCTCAAGGAGGATTGGGGGGAGAATCTTAGCGAGGCTTCTATGCTCAAACATAAATAAAACGGAACAGACCTCAGACTTGCTCAGGAGAAAATGCTGCTGCTGCTGCTGATTACGATGAGGATACGAGCACTTGTTAAACAAGCCCAGTGACCCCAGTTAAATCCTCAGAACCCACATAAAGTGGAAGGAGAGAGTATGTGCTGTGGTGCACATGCATCCACACTCAGACAGTAATTTAAAAAGAAAGACGAGCCGGGCGTTGGTGGCACACGCCTTTAATCCCAGCATTCGGGAGGCAGAGGCAGGCGGATCTCTGTGAGTTCGAGTCCGGCTTCAATGGCATTGCATGCACAGGGTACAAAGACCTACGTGCAGGCAAAACACTCATACACATAAAATAAATAAAATCCCCCAAACCTTGGGAAACAGAGGTAGTCAGAGCTACCCAGAGAAACCCTGTCTCAAAAAACAAACAAAAAAATCTCCAAACCCCCTACTTTCTCTAAAGGCTTCCAAGTGAATATATCCCTTTTATTGATGAAAACAAATGATAAAGGAACTTTGGAAGGAAGGGAACAAGAAAGAGAGCCTGGTTCCAGGAAATAGTAAACTTCCCTTTGATCTGGACCCGGCATCCCTCGTAACGCCATTAGAGAAGTGTACTGAGGGGAGGCTATACTGCAGCCACCAGCTGGAGTCACTTCTGAGGACTGCTCACCCGCTGTCTTTCCAAGACCACGGACTGCGGCAGGGAGTCATAATTGCCCTCCTGATATGCAAAGGTTTCCAGGTCATCAAGCTGGGTCTTGAGCTGCAGAATCAATTCTTTCTGCTTCTCCCTCTGGGTTTCCAGGCGCTCTCGTTTTTCCTGCTCACTCTGAAGAGAAAAACACTTGGGTCTATTTCACAGAAAAGAGAAGCCAGAGACACCTTATAAGCTTTAGGCCAATAATGACCAGGAAAATACATAACTACGCTTCCAAAGGATTCAATGAAAGAACTGACAAAGCGGGTGGAGCAGTAGGAATATACTTCACCCAAGGCAGCTGATCACATGTGCGTTTCCTTTCTTTTCTTTTGGTTTTTGGAGATGGGTTTTCTCATGTTAGCCCTAGCTGTCCCAGCACTCACAGGCTAGCCTCAAACTTAGAGAGCCACCTGCCTCTGGTTTAAAGGGCTGCACCCCATATCCCTACACATGTTTTTAAAAAGTGATCACCCCTTCACTGGAAACAGGAAACAATGAAGTCTTCTGTTAAAAGAATTGTTGTTTTTCAAAGGTCTAGTCAGGAGAGAGAAAACTTAGGTACAATGGCCTCCTGGAGTTAAAGGTGTCATCTTCATGGCCAGTCAAGGCAGCATAACTCCCCAGTACTCAGTGTAAACCAGTTTTACCAAACAGTCTAGCTAGATAGCTAGTCTGAAGCTAGGCTGGGCTTTATGAGACCCCCATCTCAAAAAGCAAGGCCCAGGGAACTGAGTATAAAGACTTTATATAGAGAGAAATCAACCAGTTTTCTGAAATTTCAAAGCTACTTGAAAAGGTTATAGCTATTTCTATAAAAGGGGAAACAATGACGTGTAAGTACTTAAGGCACAGAAATACAAAGAAGCCAAATCACAGGGGTAGAAAGGTAGCAGTGTGGTGCGTGGGCATATGTGTGGATTAGGTTTCTCTGAGGATAAACGCGCCCCCCCCCCCCCCACTTTTTTTGGTTTTTCGGAACAGGGTTTCTCTGTGGCTTTGGAGGCTGTCCTGGAACTAGCTCTTGTAGACCAGGCTGGTCTCGAACTCACAGAGATCTGCCTGACTTTGCCTCCTAAGTGCTGGATTAAAGGCGTGCGCCACCACTGCCTAGCAAGATAACCCCCCTTTTCATGGCAGTTACCACATAGCTTCTGTCTTTAAGTTATTAAAAGTCTGTTATTAAAATTCCTTTACAGTCTCAAGTCTTGACAACATGTTCTTAGATACTGGGTCTTCACTTCTGAGTACAAATCCTAAACAAAACAAAAAGCAAGCCAGATATGTCTGTGTACACCTGTACTCCTCAGTGAGTTTCAGGCCAGTCTGGACTACATACATATACTGACTGAAACAACCATCACTGAAAAAAACAAAAACAAAACAAATTAAAACCAACCAACCAAACAAACAAAAACAAAGGAGCAGAGGCAATAAATCACTTATAAGCATAAGGCTGCATTTTAAACTAGGATCTACACAGTATTCAACTTAACCATGAAGTGGTACTTACCAAGCCCTCAAGAAGCAAGGTATGAGAGAGAACAAATGAAAACAAAGAATTAACTTTTTGTTCAATTTCTTAAAAAGTAATCCCTTTCTTTAGCTTTGTTGAACATGAAAGCAAGCCTCAGGATACTCCTTCCTGAGTCTTACTGCTTTTTCTCAGAGCCCCATTCTCTTCTCAGCTTAGTAACGAGGTCTCCACAGACAGCTTTCTCTGATTTTCTCCAGGCAGAGCAAGTCACTTCTTCCTTTGTACTGTGTACTCACTATAGTATTTTCTTAGGACCTCTCTCTCTCTCTCTCTCTCTCTCTCTCTCTCTCTCTCTCTCTCTCTCTCTCTCTTCTTTTTGGTTTTTCAAGACAAGGTTTCTCTGTATCGTTTGGAGGCTGTCCTGGAACTCACTCTGTAAATCAGGCTGGCCTCGAACTCACAGAAATCCGCCTGCCTCTGCCTCTCGAGTGCTGGGATTAAAGTCGTGCGCCACCAACACCCAGCTAGGACCTGTTTCTATTAATCTACAAACTCCTAAAGGGCAAGTGTCTTGACTTCCAACCCTAATACACCTAGAACTGTGCCCAGTATGAAGTGAATTGTCAGTACATAGTTTCTTTCTGACTTAAAAATATTTTAAAAAGTTTATTTTATGCTTATAGTACTTTGCCCACACGTATGTCTGTGTACCATAAATCCTTATTTGTTTCCATGGCCACATCTGCCAAAGTCTGTCACTTGCTGTCATAGTTACAGCATTATTTGCTGGAGTTGAGCAAACAAATTTAACAGAAAGAACAATAAGTTCTGGGGCAAGGCAGGAAATAATAGATTTAATTTCCAGTACAAAATGAGATAAAGTAATTTGGAGAGGCTGGGATACAGCTAAATTGGTGGAGCGCCTTCCTAGCATGCACTAGATGCTAGGCTCAGAGACAAGCACTGGATAACTGGTCCCCATGCCTGTAATCTCAGTATTCACAAGGTGGAGGCAGGAGCCACTCATATTAAAAAAAAAAAAACTTCAAGATTATTCTATAGCAAGTTCAAAGGCAGCCTTAGCTAGAGAGCCTGCTATTTAAAAAAAATTACTGGGCAAGTAGTGGCATATGTTTTCATCCCAGCACTCAGGAGGCAGTGGCAGGCAGATCTCTGTAAGTTCGAGGCCAACCTGGTCTACAAAGCTACACAGAGCAATGCTGTGTGTGTGTGGGGGGGGTACAGCTGCTTAATAGGTAGATGGAACACAACCTCTTCATGGCATTACACTGACGACTTTTCTGAAAGTGACAATGAACAATAAAAAGTACCATGTCTACAGGGCCTTTCATGTCATTCACTACTCAACTTGGGCTGGCCACAAGTAATTCTATCTATTCTAACCTTTTAAGTCTGGCTCCTTATAGCTGGCTGCTCCTTGCGCAAAGAGATGAGAAGGAAGGAACTGGAAACAGTTCAGATTAACAAAAGTCAATAACTGCTACCGATAAGTTTTCCTGCTAAAGCCACTTTGACTGAGAAGGCCGAATGTGGACTGTAATCTGCAGACTATGAAGGAGAAAGGCAGCTTGTCTCATTTCTTCCAGCTTCCAGAGATGCTGTTTGTGAGGAACCTTTCCTCGGGGTGGTTTACAGAATTTCATTGCTTCTTCAGTGTACTGAAGAATGAACTTGTCAGCCAGGAGGCACCGTTCACAGAACCCTATTATTAAGTAGGATGGCAGAACAGTTTGAAGACATTACTAGCTTATAATCAGGAGGTGTCTTTCTTCCCACTACCAAGAGAAAGTGTTGCCGGGCAGTGGTGGCATATGCTTTTAATTCCAGAACATGGGAGGCAGCAGCAGGTGGATCTCTGTGAGTTCAAGGCCAGTCTGGTCTACAGAGTTCCAAAACAGCCAAGGAAACCCTGTCTCGAAACACCCGCCCCCCCAAAAAAAAGAGAGGTGTCTATTTACCAAACCTCTCACTGAGATAAGACAGCGTAAATATTACAGACTATTCATAAACCAAAAAAGCTTGGGTTAATTTACATTTCCATGGATTCCAATTCACTTCCTACTTCTCCCGTTCTCCACGCTCATCTATCAGCAAGTGCCCAGGGCTGGAGGTAGAGCATAGGACACGAGTACACACTCAAGTAATTTAAAGGCGTGGGCAAGGCAAACAGGAACAGCTTCCGTTACCTACTGCCTTTTCAATGCCCGCCGTATGTCTCTCTGCATCTTCCTGTCTCCAGTGTCTGTATCTTGCATTCACACACCTATAACACATCCAGTTTGCCGCTCCTCGCCCTTTCCAACTCGGTCCGCCCCTGCATCACTACCCACATACTCCTCGCCTGCCCCATCCTCCTGCCCAGCCGGACCCAGCCCCAGATTCACCTGGTCCTCGCCCCGCACTCGTGGCCGGTCCTCCGGAAGCCCACCGCCTTCGTCGTCGCCGCAGGGGTCTCCCAGTCCCTGGTAGCCCAGGACGTGAGGACAACCGCGAAAGGCGAAGTCTTCGAGCTCGCGCAGGAGACGCTGCTGCTCCGCCGGAGCCCCGCGCACTACCTGGCGCAGACGGAACTGCACCTGCGCGAAGTGCGAGGACAGCGCGAGCAGGGCCGAGTCCAGCTGTCGCCGCTCGGCTTGCAGTCGCCTCAGCGTGCGGACGGTCGCGTCGGGAGGAGAGCCCGGAGCCGCTCCAGGCTCCTCGGCTGCCGCCTCCTCCGAGAATGCCGCCGCCCCAGGCCCGGCCTCGGCCACCGCCCCCACTGGAGCCCAGCGCACGGCCTCGCAAGGTGGCAGCGACTCCTCATCTTCCTCTTCTTCGTCCTTCGCCTTTGGCTCGAAGGCCGTCACCACACTTCCCTGCTCAGTAGACACTTCCACGGCCGCCATCTTCCCGGAAACGCCGTCGCACGTCAGTCGCGCCCCCTTGCTGCCATGACAACGGGCGAGGGCAGGGAAGCCCAGAGGAGCGGTGGGCGGGGCCTGTACGCCTCCAGTCTCCCGAGGGCCCGCCCCCTCGCGTCTACTTTAGCGCATATTGTGAATTAGACACACGAATACTTTGCGTTGGAGGAACAAATGAACGAGGATGAGGACAAGTAATTTCCCGCCTATAGGGTCTAGGGCAACCCTTTCCCTGGTCATAGAGGGTAAATGTATTCCTGATCCGTGTATTTCTGGAGACCCCCGAGAGGCGAAGGGGTGCAGTAAATGCTCCCAGAGTCCCTCTGGAGCGCAGATCATTACCCTACCTTACCCCTACCATATAAGGAGAGGCAGCTGCCAGGGGCGTCCCTAGGATCTAAAGATAGAGGCCCTTGTCTGGGACTCCAAAAGCCACAGGGCAGCTGGAGCCACCATGGAACGGTGAGTTTTCACCATCGTACAAATCCTACTCCCTTGTCCTCCCCGCAGAGTCCCTACCCAACATGTTGTAGAAGCTGCTGATTCTGCCCAGATCCATCGGAGCCCCCCAGGTCTCTGTGACTGCGGGGTGGGAGGGGCGGGGTGAACTGAATGAACCTCCTTGCCTCCCTCGTCTTTCCGGACTCATTCTTACGCTCCCACCCACTCCACTCCACTCCCCTCCGTCTGGTTCAGTGGCAGGCACCACATTCGACTGCATTGTCCCCTCCCTCTGCCCCTCCTTATTGCCTTCAGTCTTGCGCACCCCTACCGAGCCCCACCTCCGCCCTCTTCAGGCAGCATGCCCGGACCCTGTGGTACGACAGACCCAAATATGTTTTCATGGAGTTTTGTGTTGAGGACAGCACCGACGTGAGTGTGCTCATTGAGGATCACCGCATTGTGTTCAGGTAGTGGCCTTCCCCTCTGGAAGGGCCTGGTGTCTCAAGAATTGTCCCCTAACTCTTCCTATACTTACTGTTGCTTTAGCTGCAGGAATGGCGATGGAGTGGAACTGTACAACGAGATTGAGTTCTATGCCAAGGTGAACTCCAAGGTGAGGGCAGGGTAAGGGTAGTCAGGTCCGGAAGGCTGGCGAGCAAGGAAACTGGGGATTTATCCTAAAACCGCGTCTAAGACTGAAGCTGTCTATCTGACAGGACTCCCAGGATAAGCGCTCTGGTCGCTCTATTACTTGCTTTGTGAGGAAATGGAAGGAGAAGGTGGCTTGGCCACGGCTCACCAAGGAAGATATCAAGGTGAGTATGTGGGAAGGAGTCTACCCTGTGCCCTGCGCTCTATCTGTGCACTCTCTCTGGGTACCCAGGCACCAGAATTGATCTGGATTTGGGTTTGCCTTCCTTCAAGTCAGTATTCAGTGAGTCACCTGGGTCCTAAATAGTCTGAGATTTATATATTTCCACCTAGTTTGGACTGCATCCACCAGGGTTCATTGGGGGAAGTGATTTTTGTTGTTGTTGTTGTTTGCTTTTTTTTGTTCGTGTTTTTTGTTGTTGTTTTTGAGACAGGCTCAGGCTGGCCTTGAACTTGCCATGCTTCTGTCTCAGAATCCCAAATGTTGACTTTACAGGTATGGACTTCTATGCCTGACTTTGTTGGGAGTTTGCTGCATATTTTCTGTCCCGTCTCTAATTGATCCATTCCACTGTTCCAAGTGTGGTCATGCATTGACTTTGTCACTGTCACACTTGGGAATCTTTGAAAGCCTCATCTCATCTAAAAGCTGAAAGTTGGCCACCTACTGGCTGAATCTGACTTTTACACTTATTTTAGTAGTTTCACAGTTAAAAAAGGTTATTTTCAGTCTGGTGGTGGCAATGCACATCTTTACTCCCAGCACTGGAGGATCTTTGTGAATTCGAGGTCAGCCTGGTCTACAGAGTGAATTCCAGGACAGTCAGAGCTACATAGAGAAACAACAACAACAAAAATATTTTGAGGGTCTGGATAGGTGGCTTAGTGGTTAAGAGCACTGGTTGCTCTTACAGAGAACCTGAGTTCAATTTGCAGCTCCTACATGGTGCCTCACAACCACCTGTAACTCCAGTTCCAGGGGGACCAACACCTCCCTCTGACTGCCATGGGCATGTGGTATACATACATGCAAACATACATACATGCAAACAAAACATTCATATATATAAAATAAAACAAATACATCTTAAAAATATTTTGACTGCCCAGCACCTTGGGAGGCAGAGGCAGGCAGATCTCTGTGAGTTCGAGGCCAGCCTGGTCTACAAAGTGAGTTCCAGGACAGCCTCCAAAGCCACAGAGAAACCCTGTCTCGAAAAACAAACAAAACAAAACAAAACAAAATGTACATTATGGATGCCGGTGGGATGGCTCAGCAGGTAAAGGTTCCTGCTACCAAGTCTGATGATCCGAGTTCAAGGCCCAGATCCCACAGGGTGGGAGCAAAGAACCAACCCCCACAAGTGTGACATCCATTTGTGTGTAGTTACATGCCCCCTCCTCACACATAAATACATAAATGTGATTTTAACATTTTTATTGTAAATCATGGGACTGAAAAGATGGTTCACTTTTTAAGTTATTTGTCCAGAGGACCCAGGTTCAATTTCCAGCTCATGGTAGCTCAGAATAGAATTGTTTGCATCTCTAGTTCCAGAGAGTCGATGCCCTCTTCTAGCCTTCATGGGCACCAGGCAGGAACTTGGTATACAGACAGAGGCAGACAAAATATTGCTAAGTGTGGTGGCACATACCTTTAATCCCTATGTGAGGAAGAGGCCTAGACAGGTGGATCTCTGTGAGTTTGAGGTCATCCTGGTTTACAAACACAAACGAACAAAACAACACCCCTGATCTTTTTTTTTTAAAGATTTATTTATTTATTACATATGCAGTGTTCTGCCAGAAGAGGGCACCAGATTGAATTGTACCATGTCAGTGCTCTTAACCTCTGAGCCACCTCTCCAGCCCCCACCCCCAATCTTTTAAATGAATATGTATAAATATTTAATTTTCTTTTGTTTTGAGTCAGGGTCTCATATAACTTCATCTTGCTCTATAGCTGAGGATGACCTTGAACCCCTGGTTCTCTAGTCTTCACCTAAAAATGCTATCATGATAGGCTGCAGCATTATACCTGGCTCTAAATGTGGGCACTTTGGGATATGGTCCTAGCCATTTGCAGTCAGATTTTTCTTCGAGGCACTAACTCACAAATAACTGCATGGAGACTTATTATTAATTATGAAAGCTCAGCCTTAGTTTAGGTTTGTTCCACTAGCTCCTTTTTTTTTTTTTCTTCTTTTTTTCTTTTTTTTTCCAGACAGGGTTTCTCTCTGTGGTTTTGGAGGCTGTCCTGGAACTAGCTCTTGTAGACCAGGCTGGCCTCGAACTCACAGAGACTCACCTGCCTCTGCCTCCCGAGTGCTGGAATCAAAGGCGTGTGCCGCCACCGGCCGGCCCCACTAGCTCTTATAACTTAAATTAACCCGTTTGTTTTAACCTATGTTCTGTCACATGGCTCATTACCCTCATCTGTCTGTATTGCCCAAGCTCTTACTCCACAGCTGGCTGTTGACTCCACCTTCTTCCCAGAGGTCTCTCTCCGCTCTGAAGTCTCCCGCCTCGTTATTGGCCTTTCAGCCTTTTATTACGCCAGTCACAACGATACATTTCCACATGGCGTACAAAAGTCCCACAACAAAGGGTTGCCTCTGACTCTAGGGAGTGCTGCTTGTCGGTCTTGCTTGGTTGAGTCCTAGGATGCTTTAAGTTCCCTGTCCGTCAGCCCTTGGAGGACAGAGCTCTGTGCTTCTTCAGACCTTGCTGTTCTTGGCATTGTGTTTAGCACTGAGTACATGCTGGTGAACACTTGTGGATGCAGCTTGGAAGGCAGGTTGACCCAAAGGGGTGCATGTGGGAACCCTGTACCACACTGACCTCTCCCTCTGAGACCTCCCGCTATGCACCAGCCCCTTCTCTTCCCTGTAGTCTTGCTTCTGTCCTTCCTGCCTGTGACACCCGCGCTTCCTCTTGCAGCCCGTGTGGCTCTCTGTGGACTTTGACAACTGGAGAGACTGGGAAGGAGACGAGGAGGTGGAACTGACCCAGGTGGAGCATTATGCAGAGGTATGAGACACAGCACCCCGCCCATCTCTGTCACTCCGCATCTGTCGGCGCACACACATCTAGGGAATCATCAAGGCCAGGCGGGGTACTGAAACCCCCTAAGCAGGCCACTCACTAGTGCTGATATGCAGCATATGTTATTCTTTATTTAGCAGAAATGAAATCAGTGTTAGTGAAATTCAAAGGAGAAAAATTAAAGATTCATTATTTTGTTTATTTTTGAAACAGGGTCTTAACTATACAGCTCTGCGTGGTTTGGAACTTGCTACATAGACCAGGCTGGCCTGAAACTCACAGATATCCACTTGCCTCTGCATTCCTAGTACTGGGATTAGAGCTGTGTTCCACGGAGCCCACTGTTGTTATTTTTATTTTGTGTATGCCTGTGTGTTGGATCACTTGCAGCTGGAGTTACAGGTGGTTGTGAATTGTCTGATAGGAACAAAATTTGAATCCTCTAGAAGAGAAGGCAGTACTCTTAGCTGCTGAGCCATCTTTAAAAAAAAAGACAGTACATTTTATTTATTTATTTGGGAGGGACAGATGCACACATGTCACAGAACCCATGTGGAGACCAGAAGACAACTTGTAGGTGTCTGTTCTGTATTTCTAACCTGTGGGTCCCAGGGATTGAACCCTGTAATCAGGCTTGGCAGTAGGTGCCTATTCATACTGAGCCATCCTGGCAGACCATATTAGTAAATTTTCACACAGCTTCACTTACTGATTTCGAGCAGTGCCTGCATCCTATAAAATGTTTTAGGTTGTGAGCCTAGCCTTTAAAGGTATCTCTCCAGCCCAAATTGTGTTAAAATACGTAACAAACCTCTTCCAAGCACTTTATAATTCTCTCTCTCTCTCTCTCTCTCTCTCTCTCTCTCTCTCTCTCTGTCTCTCTCTCTCTGTCTGTGTGTGCGTGCGCGTGCGCTGGGATTGAAAAAGTGCACCACCACCACCAGCAGGCTATAATTCTTGTTCTCTTCTATGATTCTTGGTGTTTTTCTTTCTTTTTCTAAACTAGAAAAAGTCATGGGAATCTAATACTAACCAGTATAAAATTCATGTTATAAATCACTGCTTCCTGGAATCCAGTTGCAGAGAGGGAGGAGTGATGAGCAAAGGGGGCAAGACCAAGGAAACAGCTGACCTGAACAAGGGGGAGCTCATGGACAGAAACCAGCATAGGACAGAACCAGGCCCCCTGAACATGGGTGTCAGTTAGGAGACCTGGGCAGTCTATGAGGCCTCGGGTAATGGAACAGTATTTATACCTAGTGCACAGCACAAGCTCCTCTGCCTCCTGAGTGCTGGGATTAAAGGTGTGCACCACCACTGCCTCACTTCTCTCTGATTTTGTTTTGTTTTTTGAGACAGGGTTTCTTTTTTTCTTTTTGTTTTGTTTTTTGTTTTTGTTTTTTTCAATACAGGATTTCTCTGAATTGTTTTGGAGGCTGTCCTGGAACTCACTCTATAGACCAGGCTGGCCTCAAACTCACAGATATCTGCCTGCCTCTACCTCCGGAGAGCTGGGATTAAAGGCATTTGCCACCAATGCCCAGAAAGACAGGATTTCTGTGTGTAACTGTCCCGGCTGTCCTGGAACTCTTGGAGATCATGTTGGTTCCGGATTCACTGAGATCTGCCTGTCCCTGCCTCCAAAGTGCTATGATTAAAAGTGTTAGATACCACCACCCAGCTGGGTCTCCTTGTGTAGCTGAAGTTGATCTTGAACTTTTGATCCTCCTGCCTCAGCCTGTGAGTGCTAGGGTTATAGGCCTGTAATACCATACCCACTTTAAATTAGTTTTTTTTTTAAGTTCTTTTCGTCTTGGTTTGTTTGGTGTTTTGATTTTTAGCTTATCATGTGTATGTATATGTGCCTGAGTGAGTTTAAGTGTCCCATGTGGATGCAGGTGCCCAAGGAGGTCAGAGAGCAGTAACTGCCTGATGTGGGTTCTGGGAACTGAGCTTGGTTTCATTGCAAGAGCAGAAAGTGCTCTTAACCACTGAACCATCTCTCGAGGCCCAGCCCCTTTGATACAAGGTCTTGTGTCACACAGACTGGCCTTGAGAACTTCCTATGTAGTGAACTGAGGCTGGCCTTGAACTCCCGATCTTCCTGCCTTCATTTGTTAAGTTCTAGTATTGTAAGCAAGTCCCAACACATCTTGCCTGAGATTAACTGTTGTAAGCCACATTCGGTATCAAACTCAATCCTTTTCAAGAGTAGGAAGTGCTCTTAACTATTGAATTATATCTTTAGTCCCCCTGAAATTAACTTTTAAAAAAATTTACTTATTTATTTATTGTGAATATAGTGTTGGTATCATATCTCATTACACCATGAGGTTGCTGGGAATTGAACTGAGGACCCCTGGAAGAGCAGCCAGTGCTCTTAACTTAACCTCTGAGTCATCTCTCCAGCTCCCAGAAATTAACTTTTAAGAAAGGGAATCATGTAAAAAAAAAAAGTTTCAATTGGCTTCTCTCCAGTCAATGGCTGGGTCTGGGGCCATTCTCCTGTCTCTACTAATATCCAGACTTCCTTTCCTCCCCCCCCCCCCCCCCCATCTCTTGTGACTGTTTCTCTCTTCCCGGTAGCTTTTGAACAAGGTCAGCACTAAGAGACCTCCCCCTGCCATGGATGATCTGGATGTAAGTACCGCCATCCCTAAATCCTCCAGCCTTTACAGATAGCACATCAGAGCTGGAAACAGCTGAGTGGAAGAGTGCCTTCCCATCATGCATGGGTCCATCCTCCAAAGAGGAAAGGGAGAACAAAGCCACAGACATGTAGGAATGTGCATTCCACTCTCTAGCACACAGCAGTTCTCCTCGGGTTAACCACGTCTGAATCTGACGCACGAGGTTGAGCGTTCTTCAAGTCTCCCCTTCCTCCTCCCCATCCTAGAACAAACCTGGCCCTGATGAGTGTCTTTGCCACCTGAAGGAGCAACAACACCACTTGAAATTCCTGGTGGTCAGCCGGGCGGTGGTGGCGCACACCTTTAATCCCAGCACTCGGGAGGCAGAGGCAGGCGGATCTCTGTGAGTTCGAGGCCAGCCTGGTCTACAGAGCGAGTTCCAGGACAGCCTCCAAAAAAACAATACAGAGAAACCCTGTCTCGAAAAACCAAAAAAAAAAAAAAAAAAAGAAAGAAAGAAAGAAAGAAATTCCTGGTGGTTCAGTTCATTACCCACAATTAGACTCCTCTGGTCTTAGCTTCCTAAGATATGCGACTTGGGATTTTAGCTGAGTAGGGTTGGGGGATGGAATGGATGAGCAGCATCATTGAAGGTCACCATAGAAACAGGTGCTTTGTCTTCTCTTTTCAGGATGAGTCTGACAATGAGGATGCAGTAACTAATTAGCTTTCTGTGACAGCAGAGCTGGGGAGGAGGCTTTCGCTACCTTCTGTCCTGCTGAAAAGCTTGATGGCGATTCATCGACTATTTTGTTATGCATAGGACCCACTGAGACCACTGACCTTTTCCAGAAGCTTGCTTGCTTTATTTATTTCCGGTTGCCCTCAAATTCAGAGATCCACCTGCCTCTGCCTCCGGAATGTGTGTGCCACCTCTGCCCAGCCAGAAGCTCTTTTTTTTTTTTTTTTTTTTTCGAGACAGGATTTCTCTGTATTGTTTTGGAAGCTGTCCTGGAACTCGCTCTGTAGACCAAGCTGGCCTCGAACTCACAGAGATCCGCCTGCCTCTGCCTCCGGAATGCTGGGATTAAAGGCGTGAGCCACCAATGCCCGGCCTGGATGTTGGTTTTAAATAAAATATTAACATACATGCCTTGCCTGTTTCTGTCCAACCCCTGTTATTTCCACCTCCGAAGTCCAAATTACAAGGTCCCAAAAGCTAGTAGAAGAAAATTCAGATCGAATTTTGTGGTCTTTCAGTTTTAAAACTGTGACTAAACAACAGAGGACACCTGCAGTTAACAGTTTCAGCAAATTTGGCTAAACCCTGCCCCTTCCTTTACCTTTTCCCGTTTGCGCAGAAACGCCTAAGAAAGTTTGTCCCAGGCCGCTCTCCGTACTCCTGCCCCGCATTTCTGCCCTCGAGAGTTTCCAGGGCCTTGGAGACCGCAATGGCGTTCCTGTGTCAGCGCGATAGCTACGCCCGGGAGGTGCGGCCTGGTGGGCGAGGGCTCTGAGACCACTGGTGCCACCGGGAGGGAGGGAGAGGGCAGGCTGCAATCCTGGCATGAGAAGGCTCACACTCGCCTCCCTCTCTTTGCCCAGTTCACCACCACCGTGGTTTCCTGCAGCCCGGCCGAGCTGCAGACGGACGCGAGCGGCGGCAAAAAAGAAGTGCTGAGCGGTTTCCAAGTGGTTCTGGAAGATACGCTGCTTTTCCCCGAGGGCGGGGGCCAGGTACCAGGAGCAGCCTCAGCCTGACCCCCTCCCAGGGGCCCCCACATTCCTATTAGCTCCCGCAGAAAGTGCGTTCGCCCTTTCTTAGCCTCAATAAAGCAGACGGATGTCAGTTCACAGCATTCATTCAGCAAATGCTTATGTAGTTATGACACACGCGGTGTGTCACATTCCAGGCGCTGAAGATAAAGGGTGAACAAGACAGTGCCTCTAAATACATGGAATGCTTATTGCAGACAGTTCTGTATGCCAGGTAGAAGTAATAATAATGTCGCTAGAAATAAAGCTGGGTAAGGGAAAGAGCGGTGGTAGACTACTTGGTACAGATGTGAGCCACCGTAGCTGTTTAGTGGTTCTCGGGCAAGAGAACGATTTCAGGCAGACAGAATAACTGCGCACAGGCCCTGAGGTGGTAATTAACAAGCAGTGGTTTGCAGGGACTGAGAAAGATTCTGGGAGAGTTCAGAAGTGGAGCATGGCCTTAAGAGCCTGGTGGAGAGCCTGGCTACAGTATACAAAAAGGAGATAGTGATACCATAAGCGGGCGTCGTAAGAGCTAGTCAGGTTGGTAGGTTAAGCAGGGGCAGTGAAGCGTGACAGACTCAGCTAAATCTAACTGTAAATAAAGTAATGCGGCAGTGCTAGGGCTTGTGGTGCGTGTTGAGAACAGGTGGGAAGTGATTGAGACCAGTTCAGAGGGCCTTGGAGAGAGTATAACGTATGTAGACTCCAGGAAACAAGTGAGCCGTGGTCGATCTGAAGCAAAGTGGTGGCCCAAGAGAATTCAGTAGACCCAGTTCTTTGTAATCACATGGAGATGTCCTGAGCCGCTAAAGAAAAATCCTTGATCCTCAGGCGTCCATAGAGCTGCCTCCTCCTCCTCTCCCTCCTCCTCCTCTTCCTCCTCTTTTATTTTTGTTTGTTTGTTTGCTTGTTTCTCGGGACAGGGTTTCCCTGTGTAGCTTTGGAGGTTGTCCTAGAACCTGGAACTCTCACTGTAGACCAGGCTGGCCACGGACTCACAGAGATCCTCCCTGCCTCTGCCTCCCAAGTGCTGGGACTAAAGGCATGCGCCACCAATGCCTGGCCATTATTTTCAAAACTATATTCATTTTATTTTTATTTATATGTGTGTGTTTGTGGGTGTGTGTGTCAGAGGACTTGTGGGAGTCGGTTATCTCCTCCCACTCAGGTCCCAGGGACCAAACTCAGGTTTTCAGACTTGGTAGCAAGTGTCTTTAACCACCTTATCAGCCCTGAAGCTTTCATGTTGCACCACTTCCTTCAGTCCTCCCAGATCCCTCACTACTATTGGGTCTCTTTAGATTTAGTTTCTGTGGCGTGATCTATGTCTTATTTCCATTGAGTTATTTGGTTGGCGCAATGCCTCCTAAGCAGCTGGCATTAGATACTTTTCTTTTTTTTTTAATTTAAATTAGAAACAAGGTTGCTTCACATGTCAATTCCAGGTCCCTCTCCCTTTCCCTCCCCTCCTCCTGTGCCCTCCCACCAACCCCCCAATATCCCCTCATTTCCCCAGGGAGGGTGAGGCTCTCCATGGGGGTGTCCATAGTCTGTCATTTCATCCAGGGCAGGACCTAGACCCTCCCCCAAGAGTCCAGGGTGAGAGTGCATTTCTCATTGTTGGATGGGATCCCAAAGTCCATTTGTATACCCGGGATAAATACTTACCTACTACCCAAGGCTCAATAGATTACTTAGGCCTCCTCACCGATACCCACATTCAGGGGGTCTTGATCAGTCCCATGCTGGATTCCCAGGCATCAGTCTGGGATTCAAGAGCTAACCCATGTCAGGTCAGCTGTTTCTGGGGGTTAAACCAGCTCAGTCTTAACCCCTTTGGCCATCAGTCCTCCCTCTCTGTCACTGGATTTCTTGAGTTCAGCTCAGTGCTTATCTGTGGGAGTCTGCCTCTGTTTCCATCAGCTACTGAATGAAGGTTCTGTTTCCCAGACTCTCTGGCCATGGGATTGTAGGCTGGCACTCCCCAGACCTATGTCTAAAATCCACATATGAGAGAGTACATGCCATGTTTCTCTTTTTGTGACTGGGTTACCTCACTCAGGATGGTTTCTTCTAGTGCCATCCATTTGCTTGCAAATTTCAGAATTCCATTGTTTTTTCTGCTGAATAATACTCCATTGTGTAAATGTACCACAATTTCTCTATTCACTCTTCGGTTGAGGGGCATCTAGGTTGTTGATACTTTTCTAAATGATGAGTATTCTTGCATCTAATTCTGGCATCAGTGCTGGGGCTGAGTGGTTTAAAGGCAGGAACTCTCAGGTCACGTTAGAGGCTATTAAAGATACTCTCCGGGGACAACAATGAGGATTAAGGATCTGTGGGTTTTACTAGGATCTTTCGATACTGTACTTTTTTGTTTTAGTTCTGCTATTCTGCCCTAAAGAACAACACATATAGGTGTTCAAAAAGAGGACAGGAAACCGTGTCATAGAACAGAGTAGTGGGCCACCTTGACATCGTCTCCTGTTCCCCAGGAAGCTCAGTGTCTGGTTCTGCCTCTCTGAGTGCTCCCCCCTTAGAGTGTCTTTGCATCTTGGTAGGGTGAGACCTCCCCTAGTGTTGATTGCCCTCCTCCTCCCCCAGCCTGATGACCGTGGAACCATCAATGACATCTCTGTGCTGAGAGTGACTCGTCGTGGGGCGCAGGCTGACCATTTCACCCAGACACCTCTGTCCCCCGGGAGCCAGGTCCAGGTCCGGGTGGACTGGGAGAGGAGGTTTGACCACATGCAGCAGCATTCAGGTGAGGCCACAGGGCGGGGCCATACGGGGAGATGGGCTGTGAACAGCGTGCAATAATGATGGGAGTGGGGTTTCCATTCTGTAGGGAGAGGGCCTTTTAGAAGGGATGGGGATACTCAGAGTCAGCTCTGATTCAGGCAGTGTGTGATAAGTGTGAAAACAACGTAAACATTAAAGTTCTAAGAACTATTGGCCTTTTTTCTCCTTTTTTTTTTTTTGACTTTTTTTTTTTTTTTTTTTTTTTTGGTTTTTCAAGACAGGGTTTCTCTGTGGCTTTGGAGGCCATCCTGGAACTCACTTTGTAGACCAGGCTGACGTCGAACTCACAGAGATCCGCCTGCCTCTGCCTCCCGAGCGCTGGGATTAAAGGTGTGCCACCACTGCCCAGTTTTTTCTCTGTTTAAAATTATATATATATAATTGTGCTGGAGATTGAACCCAGGACCCTGCTTGTGCATAGCACTGTCACAGAGCTATGTCCTGAGCCTCAGAACAGTCCTTCAAAAAAGGAAAATCAGATCATCTCACTGGCTTGCTCTTAGAAATCTTCCTGTAGTTCTGTGTAGAAAGCCATTCTCCTTACCAGGGCCTCCAGTCCTAGTGGCACTGCTCAGGTATGTGCTCCAGCCTCATGGGGGCCTCGCCATAGCCCACTGCCTGCACCCCCACTGCACCCATCTTTTTGAACATGTCACTGGCTTACAGCCCCGGCCTTGCCCACCTGACATCACTATCTAGCACGAGGAAAACATGAGCTCTTACAGTTGGGGTTTCTCCACTGTGCTGTAATTCTGTATATAAGGCTGCTCACTCCTCATGGCAGACACACAGGCAGACACCCAGACACAGCGCATACACACACGCATTCTCTTGTCAGTAAAGACGGCAGATGCATTCTCTTAGCACAAGTGGTTGGATGTTGTGTCTTTTCATTTCCCGATATCTCAGACTTGTTCATGGCGTGGACGCCACAACTGGCACAGATCTTGCCTTACGTTCCTGGTTAGTTCTTCCTCGTCCTCTTTTTCTCGTCATCTTTCCTCTCATCAGTCAGGAGTGCAGCTGCATCTCTGACATCCAGTCTGGCATTCTGCTTGTGGTAGATGTTTAGTAAGCATTTGTCAGTCACCTTGGAGGAGCTACTATGCCTTGGCCAATTGGGAAATAGCATTGTGAAGCTGCCAGCGGAATTCTCATGGTGATCTCTCTCTCTCTCTCTCTCTCTCTCTCTCTCTCTCTCTCTCTCTCTCTCTCTCTCTCTCTCTCTCTCTCTCTCTCTCTCTCCCCCTCCTTTTCAATGTTAGAAATTGACTTAGGGCCTTACACTTGCTAGACAAGCGCTCTGCCACTGAGCTAGACCCCCAGCCCCTGTGATGTGTCTCGGTAAAGTATCTAAAATGCCTGGCAGGCCTTCAGTGAGAATTTCTGAGATTATGGTGTCGTGGGGACGTGTGATCGGGCTTCTCAGTTTGCTCCTGTCTCCTGTTCTTGCTTAGGGCAACATCTCATCACCGCCGTAGCTGACCATCTCTTTGGGTTGAAGACAACGTCGTGGTGAGTAGAGGGCACACCTAGGTCCTCTGACCCCACTTCCGTCCCCAGTGACGGGTTAGGATAGGAAGTGACGGGCAATGTTTGCAGTTGCTTTTCTTTCCTTCTTGAAGACTGGGTTGTGGGAAGACCTTATCTTTTGTTTTATTTTTTTTTTCTTTGTTTGTTTTTTCCAGCCAGGGTTTCTTCTCTGTGTAGCTTTGGAGACTCTCCTGGCACTCGCTTTGTAAACCAGGCTGGCCTCGAACTCACAGAGATCCGCCTGCCTCTGCCTCCCAAGTGCTGGGATTAAAGGTGTGCACCACCAACACCTGGCTAAGACCTTGTATTTCTTAGGAGAAACTTCAGATGAGAGCAGGGGTGGCTGGAGAGATGGCTCACAGGTTAAGAGCACTGATGCTCTTCCAGGGGTCCTGAGTTCAATTCCCAGGAATCACATGGAATCATAATGAGATCTGGTGTCCTCTTTTGACCTGTAGGCAAACATGCAGACAGAACACTGTATACATAATAAATAAATAAATCTTTAAAAAAAAGATGAGAGCAGGGACATCTGCCTTGGCTTGCTGAAGAACATAGAGTTTAGATTCCAGAGCTAAAGTATGATTCTGCCACTGCATGCCTTTGGTCATGTATCTTATGGTGCTGCATTTGTAAAATGGCAATGGCATTCCCTACTGAGGAGATTTTCTTGTTTTTTGGTGTGGATTCAATAGTTATTTATATGGATTTTGTTTCTTTTTCTTTTCTTTCTTTCTTTCTTTCTTTTTTTTTTTTTTTTTTTTTGAGGCAGGGTTTCTCTGTGTAGCTTTGGAGGCTGTCCTGGAACTCGCTCTTGTAGAGCAGGCTGGCCTTGGACTCACATAGATCCACCTGCCTCTGCCTCCTGAGTGCTGGGATTTTGTTTCTTTTTTAAGATAGTCTTTCTATCTAACCCAGACTGTAGTTTGAGTTTGGTCTGGAATTCACCAAAGTTAGCCTCCTGAGTATGGGGTTATAGGCACGGCCCTGCCTCTGCTGTTATTGGTGTATTGGAAGGCAACCTTAAAGTCCAGTCCTCCTTCCTCATCTCCCAAGTGCTAGGCTTATGGGAAAGAATCTCCTGGATCAGTGAGAACATTCCTCAAGAACTTTCAACATGCTGTGTCCCCCCTCCCCCGCTCTGTGCTGCTTTTTCGGCAGGGAGTTAGGGAGACTCCGGAGTGTGATTGAATTGGACAGCCCTTCTGTGACCTCGGAGCAGGTAGCTGCCATTGAACAAAGTGTCAATCAGAAAATCAGAGATCGACTGCCTGTGAGTGTGCGAGAACTGAGCCTGGATGACCCTGAGGTGGAGCAGGTGAGGAGACAGCCAGTTTCCAGAGTGGCTCTTCAAGGCTCCTCATCAATTTTCAGACAGTCCTGCTCCCTCCCCTCTGTTCCAGGTGAGGGGCCGGGGTCTGCCAGATGATCATGCTGGGCCCATTAGAGTTGTTACCATTGAGGGTGTTGATTCCAACATGTGCTGTGGGACCCATGTGAGCAATCTCAGCGACCTTCAGGTAAGTGTGGAAGGCTGTGGAGTGTGTGAGGACAGGTTATTGGGGAGCAGGGTTGGGAGTGGCAAGTGAGTCAAGGGTCAAGTCCTTGTTTCAGAGCTAAGGGGGGGGGTCTGATCTCTCTTGCCTTCATGTCCTAAGACCCACTGTGGTGTGTGTGTGTGTGTGTGTGTGTGTGTGTGTGTGTGTGTGTGTGTGTGTGTGTGTTACTCCCTTTGTGTAGGTCATTAAGATTCTGGGCACCGAGAAAGGGAAAAAGAACAAAAGCAACCTGATATTTGTGGCTGGGAACCGGGTCCTGAAGTGGATGGAACGAAGTCATGGGAGTGAAAAAGCCCTGACCACACTACTTAAGTATGCCCCGCCCCTCCCTGCTCCTTAGCCTTCCCGCCTGCAAGGTAGACAACAATCTACTCTGGACAGTAGCTCAGACCCACACAGAATGGTTCATTCCTCAGTATCCTCCCTCTCAGTCACTCAAGAGACCCTTTGAATGTTTCCATCTTGAGGAAGGCACCCAGCAAGGAGGGTTCATTGATGTACGCCGCCCCAATTCTGGAAGCACCTGGGAGTTGGCCAGCCTCCATTAACTACTGTCTGTCTTACAGATGTGGAGCGGAGGATCACGTGGAAGCAGTGAAAAAGCTCCAGAGTGCCACCAAGCTCCTGCAGAAGGTTACTCTGGGGACTGGAGAGGGCCTGGGCTCTGCCAGGGCTGGTGTGGGTGTGGATGATCGAGGGGGTTTGAGGGCCGCACAGGAGGAGGTAATGGTTTCTCTGTTATCTTACCCACCTGTCTGAGCTCTCACATCTGTTTCAGAACAACCTGAATCTCCTCAGAGACCTGGCTGTGCACACTGCGCACAGCCTCAGGAGCAGCCCAGACTGGGGCAGTGTGGTCACTCTACACAGGTGAGAAGTTAGGGACTGGAGGAAAGGCAAGGGTCTGAGGTGAGCCTGGGGCTCAGCCTCTCCAGAATGCAGCACACAGTGGGCTGCAATTTGCTGAGAGGGACCATAGGAGGTGTGTCCCTGGACTTGCTGGACCAGATATTAGCGTCTTCACTGTGACTATGTGGACTTACTAGCTCCTTCACTGGCCACCCTCACCATCTAGCAGATCTCCCAGCATCTTAGGATCCTTTGTTTGGGAATAGGCTGCTGAGACTGAGGGCGTCTTCTCTGTCCTGAGGGATCTGGGACTTTGTGTGCTCCACTGGGAAGCAATGAGGCCTGTCTGTTGCCTGTCTCAGGAGGAGGGGCCAGGCCTCCTGCAGTGTCACAGCACCCTTCATGCTGGGGCCCATCTGTGTCCTTTGTCCATAGGAAAGAGGGCGACTCTGAGTTCATGAATATCATCGCCAATGAGATTGGGTCAGAGGTAAGAAACCAAGAGTGTCGTCCTCCACTACGCAGAGGCCCTGGGAGGTATGACTGAGGGAGTTAGCTTAGCCAGAGTCCCTCAGGTTAACTCAGGAAGAGCTGAAAAGAAATTCATCCAGATTATTTTTCCTAGCACTTGCCACGATCCAAGTTCTGTTGTTTCGGGAGCTCAAAAGCTACAAGCTACCTAGAGTGTGTGCTGAGAGAACGTCGGGGTCCAAGACCCTTCGGAGGCCTCTGTCTCAGGCCTCACTTGCCTTTCTTCATCCTAATGGTCTAGCATAAGAGAGTGCCAGGGCTCTTGCCCTTATTTTAAACCCTTTATGGAATGCCTCCCTGGGGTTCAAGCCTCAGGCCTCTGATTGTCAGGAAGCTGTGTTCTAGCCTGAGAGACAGGTGTCAGTCAGCATGTATAATTTGGAGTGATAAATACTTGAGGGAACGAGAAGCTTCAGGGCCAGGCCACAAAGCCTGCTTAGAGATACTCAGGTAGCCAAGGAGCAGAGTGGCTAGCAGAAAGACAACACGGGCTGACAGGGTGTCCACAAAGATGGGAAAGGGTGGTGGCAGTGAGACCATGAAAGGTATCGCCTCCTGTTAGTGTTTACTTCCTGGTCGTTCTCATAAAGCTCGGAGGCCCAGCATGCCCGAGTGGATGGCTGCGACATCAGCCACCAGTGACAGCTCTGGTTTAGAGGAAGCTGCCTGTTCTTGACTGAGGAGAGTGAGGGGCTTGGGGGAGTTGACTCCATGTGTGCTCATCTCCGTGTGTCATCTCCTAGGAGACCCTCCTGTTCTTGACTGTGGGGGATGAGAAGGGTGCTGGGCTCTTCTTACTGGCAGGGCCAGCGGAGGCCGTGGAGACCCTGGGACCCAGGTAACGTGACGTGGGGAAGTTGTGCACTTGTAACACACCGATGCAGCCCTGGGCTAGTTAGCAGGGTGTCACATCTGTGACCTCCTGGGTTCACAGAGGTATGCGAGGCAGGATGAGCAACTGTGGTCTGACTGCAGCACTCCTAGTTTGACAGATTAGGGACCATGCATCATGCACTGAGGTCTCATCGTTAAAGCAGCAGAATGAGACTCAAACACAGGGATTTTGTTTGTTTTAAAGAAAATTTGATCCCTAGAGCTAGGTGTTATATGACAAATGTCTCCTCACCCCAGATTGGCATTCAACAACAGACCAAAGTAAGGACACCATCTAAGTCTGTCTTGATGAACAATTGGAATATGGGTGAGGGGTTATTTACAGGAGAAAAATGACTCAAAGACAGCTGTGTCACCAAAGCCCACCCCAGCATGGGTGACAGCTCACTGAGTTGCCTGCCTCGGCCTAATGAGTTCTGGGATTAAAGGTATGCACCACCATGCCTGGCTTATTTTCTTGTTTCAAGTTACCTTCAGAGGCATATGACTCCTGTTCTTTTGAGCATTAGAGTTTTCAGTTATTATTGCTTCTCTGGAATATGTGTTCCTTGGAAACATCAAAGGGAAATATAGTTATTTATAATGGAGATTCCTAACAGGCAGCCACATGTGGCCTGGAGTCTGGTTTGACTTGGCTTGTGCAATGTTCTTTCCTGTCTTTCTCCCTCCCTCCCTTTCTACTTCTCCCCCCTCCTTTTTTTTTTTTTTTTTTTTTTTTTTGGACAAGGTTTTGCCCTGCAGCCCTGGCTAGTTTCAAAATCCTGATCCTCCTATCTCTACCTCCCAAGTACATATCGATACGTGTATATTGATATATATATATCAATAATACATCCAAAACTTCTGTTTTTTTTTATAGTCTCCAAAGTTGGCCTCAAACTTACATCAGTCTCCTGCATCCTCAGCCTCTGGTTCTCCTTTCTCTAGATCCTTAGGTCTGCCCTTAGTCTTTGACTTTTCACAAACCATCTCCTAACTGTTTCTCCCTTCTCTAGGGTGGCTGAGGTCTTAGAAGGCAAAGGAGCAGGGAAGAAAGGCCGCTTCCAGGGCAAGGCCACCAAGATGAGCCGGCGAGCAGAGGCGCAGGCGCTTCTGCAGGACTATGCTAGCACGCAGAGTGCTGAGGAGTAGTGAGGGCCAGTATGCCCATCATGTGACCACAACAGTCTTTTGGACAATAAAATAGCGTGACTCAAAACGATTGTGTGCTGTCATTTTTGGTTATGTGCACAGTGCATTCCAGTGTGCTTATGTGATTAACCCCTATGGGAACAGTTCCTAACTTGACTCCTTGTAGGTATGGGTAACCTCCATGAGTGGACATTAAATTAACGAAATGTACTGATCTAGGCTCCACTGAAAGCTTCCTGCTGGTGTAGTTGCTTAGGGCTTAGCTTCATCCAAATCTCCTTGCTTTATATTGTCTTTGTCTTTTTTTTTTTTTTTGAGATAGTCTTTCAGAGTCACCCAGGCAGACCTCCTCACAATCCTAAACGCTGAGATTATGGGCATAGGCTACAGGCTTCAGACCTGGGTTTTGTGTGTGCACACGTGTATGGGGACAGCAGCATCTGTCCTCGAGGCACTCTCTACCTCTTACCATTTTCCTTGTTATTGCAAGAGCATCTCTACTGGCCTGGAACTCAACAAGTAGGCTATGCTGGTCAGTGAGTCCCCAGGATCCTCCTGTCTGCCTCCCAGAACAGGGATCACATGCACACACCACCATGCCTGCTGACTCTTTTTTTCTTTTTGAGACAGGGTTTGTGTGTAACCTTGCCTGTCCTAGAACTCACTGTGTAGACCAGGCTGGTATCACAGTCACAGAGATTCTTATCATGGGCTCTAGGGATCAAGTCAAGTCCTCTAGTCTGCAGGAAAACTGCTTTGTAAGCTGAACTATTCCCCATATTCCCCAGCCCTTCAGACTTGTCTGTGTGAGGGGTGTGTGTGTGTGTGTGTGTGGAGGGATGTGTGTGTGTGTGTGTGTACCTCAGAAAACTTTCAGGAGTCTCTGCCCCTTGTGTTTCTCCATTTCACTGTTTACTCCAGGCTGCCTGGTTCCATAGCTTCCAGGCTATTCATACCCTCTCTGCCTCCCATCTCACCGAACCGTTGTTGGATTACAGTTTCATGCTGCTGTGTCCTGCCTCTTCACAATTTTTAAAACTTACTTATTTTGTCTGAAGGGCAAAGAACAGCTGTATGAATCACTTCTCTCTACCATGTGTGAATCCATTTGCTACTGGTAATGTGTGAATCAGTCCTCTCTACCATGTGTGTTCTAGGGATCGAACTCAGGCTGACAGTCTTTGAGCCCAGTACCTGCCTGTACTTCCTGAGCCATCTTGCCAACCTCACGTCCAGCTTTTTCTATGGCTTTCGGGCATCTGAAATCAGATTATCAGGCTTTCACAGCAAGCACTTTTACCTAGTCTCTCCAGCCCCATGGCCATATTACAAGGGCACTAGTCACATGAGTGACCCCCTCACATAATCGTATCCTAAAGGCCGCAGCCCCCTTGCCGTCACTGGGGAGCTAGGGTGAGACTTTTCAGGGGTGCAGCACTGAGACTACAGAGGGTAAAATAAGACAGTGGCAGACTGGGCAGTTCTCCTTGCTGTGTTCACTTGGAGCATGAGTGGCCAGATGCTTTATTCAAACTTGGGCTCCCTTCAGAACAAGTCACCTTGCTGGGCAACCCTGGATGTCTGGCTTTCTGTTGAGGCACTCCCTGGCCTCTGGTTTCTTGACCTGAGCTAGGGGACATGAACACAGTGTCCTAAGAGAAGGAACTTTCTGAAATAACTCAATTAGGAAGAGGCATAAACACCGGGGCAAACTACATGAAACAGTAATTAGCTGTGGAAAGCAGGATGAACGAGCAGTTTGAACTGGCGACATCACTCAAGCCTGTTAGAGAGTTCTTAATCCAGTGTTTGGGCTCCAGAGCCCTGTGTGCTCAGGGAAAGGGGTGGATTGTCTGATGAGGTTCACCAGAAAGTACAGCAGAATAGGTTTATTTGTTGGGGAAGAATTTTAGAGGGGCCTGGGGAGAAGGCTCAGCAGTGCTTGCTGCTTTTCTGGAGGTCTGCAGTTTGGTTTCCAGCACCCATACTGGGCAGCTCACAGACACCTGTAACTTCAGCTCTAGGGGATCCCATGCCGTTTTCTGGCCTCCTCAGACATGCACACATGCAGTATACACATATAAATAAACTTAAATGAATTTTATTATGGCTGGAGAGGTGGCTCAGCAATTAAGACCACTGGCTGCCCCTTCTAGCGGACCCAAGTTCAATTCCTAGCACCTACACGGAGGCTCATGTACTCACCATCTGTAACCATAGTCCCAAAGGATCTAACTCCTCCTTCTGGCCTCTTGGGTCACCAGACTTATTATGCATAGGCACATATTCAGACAAAACACCCATACAAATAAGCTTTTAAAAATTTAAAAAGGGGGCTTTAGAGATGGCTCAGTGGTTAAAGGCACTGGCTTCCAGAGGGTTCAATGCCCAGCACTCACACTGTAATTCCAATTCCAGTAGGTCTGATACCCTCATACAGATATATGCATGCAGGCAAAACAGCAATGCACATAAACATTATACATGTCTACACATAGAGACCATACTTTCTGAAGTAGAGCTATGGGGCTCTGTTACAGCACCCTTATAGCAGGATTTGTCTTCTTGGTGCATTATGTCAGTGTGAAAAATGAAAGACAGTCCCTAGAACAGGAAGCAGACAGTCATGTCAGAAATGTCCCTCTGAACCGGGTGGTGGTGGCGCACACCTTTAGTCCCAGCACTTGGGAGGCAGAGGTAGGCAGATCTCTGTGAGTTCGAGGCCAGCCTGGTCTTCAGAGTGAGTTCCAAATCAATACAGAGAAACCCTGTCTCGAAAAACCAAAATAATAATAATAATAATAATAATGTCCCAAACAATATAGAGAAACCCTGTCTCAAAAAATACAAAAACCAAAACAACAAAATAATAATAATGTCCCTCTGCCCTACCTCTCACCATTGGTCCTGGGTGGAAACCTGTAAGTCAGCCAAGTTATGCCAGAATGCCTGCTTTTTGTTTTTGGTTCTTTTTTCCTAAGTGAGAACTTAAATAAACTCTGCGGCCCTGTCTGGCGCTTACGGGAAAACAGAAGGTTCAACATGCCCTGATGACAAACTCTGGGAGAAAGTGCCTGTGTTTTTTACTCCTGAATCTGAGTCAACTGTGACCAAAGTGTCCTCAGCAGAGGGCAGCCTGGCAGTTGGAGAGAGTGATGGAGGAGTTTCCTTCTTCCTCTAGGAAAATATTGTACCTTCTGTGCCCCGTCAGCTGGCAGGACGCCTGGCTCCACACTCTAAGTAACAGGGCAGGCCGTTCCAGACTGTCCTCGGCTGTGCTGAGAGCCAATAGGCTCTCGTGGGGACAGCCTCCTCTGTCTGCGGTAGTTTCCTAAGGTCCTGTATGCAGCTGAGGCCTCTTGGGAAGAGTCCTTGTTTTTCTTAAAATGCCAGCCTGAGGTTGGGGGTGTACCTCAGTGGTAGGGTCTCCCAAGCATTATGTGAGGTCCTGAGTCTCCAGCTGAAAAAGAGACACATGCAGACCCCACCAAACTCAAATCTAAGTGGGGTAGTTGCGGGGAGGACACTAGGTATATGCTGGTCAAAGCGCAGACAGAGAATAGAAATGTAGAAGCTGCCGGGCGTTGGTGGTGCACGCCTTTAATCCCAGCACTCGAGAGGCAGAGGCAGGTGGATCTCTGTGAGTTCGAGGCCAGCCTGCACTACCAAGCGAGTTCCAGGACAGCCTCCAAAACCACAGAGAAACCCTGTCTCTAAAAAACCCAAATAAATAAATAAATAGATAGATAAATAAATAAATAAATAAATAGAGCCAGCCAGTCAGTGGTGGTGGACATCTTTAATTCTAGCACTTGGGGGCAGTGGCAGACAATCTCTGAGTTCCAGGTCAGCCTATTTTCCAAAGAAAGTACCAGAATAACCAGGGCTACACAGAGAATCCCAAAGATCAAACACATAAAAAATAAATAAATAATAAGGCCAAGGAGTGTCTGAAAGAAACACCACTTCTGTGGACAGAAATGCTTCCTGTCTGCTTACATTTTTGCTGTTACTACTGACTTGTGTGTATAATGATGGAGCCCAGAATTCATTCACTTATTTGCTCAAGTTGTTTATTGAGAGCTGAGCATACTCGGAGTGTGTCCTAACTAAGCTCCTGAGCTCACTGGTAACACAGCTGTCGTCCCTGTTCTTAGGGTAACTATAGCTGGGGAGAAGAAAGACTGACAGAAAGAGAAAGAAAGGCTGGAAGGAGGGAGGGAACACTTAGAAAAAGCCACCAGAGATGGAGCCGGGTGTGGTGACCCAAACATGGTGGTGCACACCTTAGATTCCAGCCCTCCGGAGGCAGAGGTAGGTGGGTTTCTGAGTTCGAGGCCAGCCTGGTCTACAACGCAAGTTCCAGGACAACCACGGCTATCCAGAGAAACAATCTCAAAGAACAAAGACCCACCAGAGAGACGCTCTCTTTCTATTTTTGATGCCTTTGTTGTGGATGTCTTGAAGGTTTCTACTCGGCTCAGAAATCCTGAAAACCCATCCCTCTGGCAAAGTTCAAGCCCTTGGTTTCCTTTGCTTCATCGTTGCCACATATTGTGTTCTAAGTGAGCAATCTCGTCCCGCAGTCTTGCAGAAAGCTTTTCAGTTTCTTCTGCCTTCACGGCCCCAGGTCCGCATTCTTCGGCAATGCCAGTCCTAATAGCCCATCCCGTGTGATAGAACAGTAGAGGGCGCTGTGGGCCTGTGCTTGTTGAAGCGTAGAAGGGCTGGGGATGTAGGGCTGTTGGTAGAGGGGGCTTAGCAAATGACATCAGTCTGGACCCTGTCTCCAAGTTAATCAATGAATTAACTAATTAAATAAAGCAACAAGGGTGAAAGAGTCCTTGTCCAGTTAGGTAAGGCATGGTTCCCTAGTTCCTAGAATGTGGGACACAGAGTTCCAAAACACAAGCAGAGAAACAAGGAATAAATTATAGCCTTCTGGAAATGATTTCCCCCTCCTTCCTTTCCTCCTCTCTCTCTCCCTCCTCTCTTTCTGCAAGTGTGTATGTGTACATATTACCGTGTGTGCCAGTACACGTGTGTGCATAGGTAATCAGGCTTGCA